CTTTCGCCACCATCACAAAACAACATCTAGGATTTCCGAGGGCGAAGAGATGTTACTAAACTCCCTGGGGGCTGGAGAGGGTTGTGTTCGCTTTCCCCCACCCTCTCCTTATCCCCGCCTCTTCCCCTTTTAACACAAACTGCATCCCGACGGAATACGGCGTAGGAAGTCAGTAACACTGTCAGAACCTTGGCCAACCTTGACCACAGAGCCCCCTGAACTCGGGGGTCAGGACCTCGATCCGGCCGCCGGGCGGCAGCGGGCGCTGTCTCCCTCTCCCGTCTTCCCGCTTCGGCCGGAAAGGACGTGCTGTTGCATCATGCAGGATGCACGCCCCAATCCGCGGCGACTTTCGTCCTATTCTTCCTCCCCGCCCCTCCCCGGCTACTGCAGAATGCGGACTCCGTAGCCCCGAACCTACGCTGGTTTTCTGTCGGTAGAGTACATGGGTTCCGGATTCCCCGGCTGCGAGTGGGATCGCGGAACGTAAGAAAAGACCGAAAGGGGTCCTGACTGCATATAAGAAAGGGTGATTTCCCATGCAAGAACGTTTCCTTCAATGGCGATTACATCCGTTTTTTCTTACGGCCGGAGGGGGCAGCGATGGCCTTAAGGAGTTGAAGCCGCCTGGCCGGAAGGAGGGTACGTTGACGTAGGCTCAGCGCTGGGGATTATCATCTCCTAGTCATAGATATGGTGAGACGTAGAGTTTGTCGTTGGAGAAGTAAAGCATTCATGCGACTGCTTCCGCGCGCAACGGGTAGAATAAGGGGCTGATTTGCTACGTTGCGTCTTCGACAAACAACCAAAACCAAACCGAAGGGTTCTGAAAGCCAAGGCAGGGATTAGATCACACCATTATCTTGCATTCCTGCGGCTAAGCGCAAGTGCTATGACTGTACGCATCGGCCTTGGATGTGAACAGCGTGCGGCAGATGAGTTCACACTCAAGCCGGATACCTCCTCCAAACTTTGTCGATGGCTCGCTTAGGTTTGTCCTACGGATGCGACGGCTGTGTTCGTCTCTGCCTCTTCGATTGATTGCAAACATGACCTAGACTTTCCTTCCTTGGGAGCAAATTCAAGCATCAATGGAACGTAAGTCTGTCTGCATCGTGAATTATCCTTCTCTAGCCACTAGGGCCCAGTTCCTACATCCTTAAGGTTCTCCCGACCGACGAGGAGTGCCACGCTGTGTATTGACCTCGGTAGGATGTTGGTCTATGGCGACTCCATGTACTTTTATTGACTTACTTAGCAAAGACATTAAACACATCATACGTCACAAACGAGACGGAACTTGGTTTTTGCACATGGCTAGAGCCGGCGTCTTATTAATGTCATAAAGCAGGAAAGCTCCGTGATCCATGTAATGCCTGTTATAAACACCCAAATCCTACAAGCCCACCGCAAAGTCTTGTTCAACGCTGTGACCAAACCGTATACGCATGGGAAAACATGACAGTTAGAGAGCAAGTTTGATTATGGTATAGCCTATCTACCACGGCTATAGTGCTTTATAATCTGAGAAAACAACGAGAAAGCAGCTTACTGCTGGCTGGGGGTATAAGTTGAATAGAAAAAAGTAGGATCAGGGTCCGGAATCTCGATCTGACACAAGCCCCATGGGACCGACGCAACGAATCCAGAAGCTTGAGGCGAGTGAAGTCTTCTGGGAGGAATGGGAGGAAGCACCCGAGGGTCAATCGGACGTGGTTGGCAAAGGGGATCGAAAGAGGCGGACGGCTGATACCGAGGAGTGTGGTGCTGAAAATTCGCATGAGCGATAGCAAGTGCGGAGGGCTCACATTGAGGGATGTCATGCTGATGGACAGCATAATCAATGGCGAGGTTCGGTGACTGGCATTGAGGATCCGCATTCTGATGCTGGGAAGTTCCAGGGAGATCGCTGGCCTCGTCGATAGGCAGGCTGAAGGGTTCGTAAGGAGGGGCATCATGCTGATCCTGCGGAGCATCATGTTGATGGTCCGTCTGTTCGATGGAACCCTGCTGGGGATACAATGCCGCGTCCACGTGGACCGCAGGGCAAGGGTTCTGGTCTTGAGCCGAGACCTTCTAGGTCGTACTTGCCGGTTCCTCCTTGTTCGCCTGGGGGTATGAAAGACCCGCGTTCTGAGCAACTCGTTTCCAAGTCTCTAGTTCCTTGTAAAGACGTTCGCACTCTTGCTTCAGCTTGTCATTGGAGGCACTGAGCTCTGCTATAGCTTGCTCCGTAAGCAGCTTCTCAAGAGTCCATTTCTCTATGTTCTGCGTCTCATTCTCCTTGAGTTGGTTGATGAAGGTGACGGCACGCTGAAGGATGGAGCCTTTGTTCTTCTCGCAATTGGGCACAATCTTGGCCAACTCATTGATGCCTTCGTTGATCGTTTCACGACGACGACGCTCGACTGTATCTAGATTAGCCCATGTCTATATTGATCTCATCCCTAACGTTGCTTACCCTCTTTGTGGTTGTCTTTACGCATCTTATGCCATTCCTCTGAGCCAACGTCCGGTTTCTTAGCGGGAGTGCCGGCTGATCCAGACGAATAACGGTGCTGGGGTGGGGGAGGTTGATGCTGCTGGTGAGGCTGGTGGGATTGCTGAGGTTGCACAGCCTGAAGACCATTGGTGGGCTGAGGTACAGGAGGTAGACCTGGGAGCCCGTCCGGCAGGTCGGCATGACCGAAGCCATGGTCCTGACCATGGGTAGGATCATTACTCGTTTGTGCAGCAAACTGCTCCTCAGTGGTGGGAGGCACATGAAGGGTGGGATACATGGATCCGAGGGCGGCAGCAGCGGTGCTGGAAGCATTGGCAGGGTCAGCTGCCTCAGAATGCTCAGCAGCAGCAGCTTGTTGTAGGGCGCTGAAGTCGGCGGCGGAGACGCCATTCTGAGCGGCAGCATGGGCAGCCTCGACAGCATTCTCAATGAATTGAGCAGTGTCAACATCTGAGAGTCCTTCAGCACTCGCGCGCTTTCGACTAGGGCTCATCGAATCAGACAAGTCGTCGTCGCGCTTTCGCTTCTGACCAGGAGATGGAGAGCCAGCCAACTCCGACAGGTCTGGATGCTCGCTCATGACGTCGGCCATTGTTGATGTGGTTGAGGATGATTGGGGGGGAGACGTTAGTTCAAATGTGAGAATGTAAGAGGGCTGACAGGCGAAGCCTCGTTCAGCGGGCACAATCTTTGCGTCGACTCAAGCTTGGTTCAATTAGATGAAGCGGTGACTAGGTGAGGTTGGTTAGCATCAAGGGTCCTGGGAGAGCAATGGGTTCGCAAATCGCGAGAGGTCGGGTCAAGTCAGATGAGTATCAAACGTTCTGCAAGCCGTCACCGATGGCAAAGATGAACTTGATCGAAGCTGAGTGGTAATCTGACGCAGCGACCGCTTCTCATGAGAAAATGTTGGAGCGCTTGCTCTTCGACGCTGTGGAGGGTTCGTGGTGGGAAAAGCTTGACATTGACAAGACCGTATCTGCGTCACGGCTCAACATGAGTCCTGAGATTGTCGTGGCTTAGGCCGCATTTCAATCGACATAAGCCACACTCATCTGAGAGAGACAACACGTAATTGTATGGATTGCTAGGCCGTTCCTGCTGGAAAAAAGATTTGTTCTGGAGTACTAGAGAAGGTCTTCGCCGTCGAATGGTGAAAATCCATCCATCGCAATCGCTTGATTGTGGCTGGGCGACAGATCGCAAGATGTGCTTGAACAAGACAGCATCCCCAAAAATGGCGCAAACGAGGAAAAGAATTCGTTCTGCGGAAGCGTGCTTCCGTTGCAGTGCAGTGTGATAGCGATGAGAGACGATAGGGCAGACGGGAAGATCGTCAGAAAAATGGGACAGCTCGCATACCTTTAGATCATGTGCTTTGCGGCGTGGTCTGGGCGGTGAGCCAAATCACGGGTTTTGCTGGAGTTCACGTGTTGTCGGCGTGATCAAACTCGTGATATCGCGCCGCCGCGGCTGCTGGGGGGGGCTCGTCAGATGGAGCCGCCCGTGTAGTTCTTTATTAGTAGTCGAGGTTGAATGTTGGCAAAAGAGCAGGAAAACGCGTCGAATTTTTCCAAAATCGTGATTCTTTGGGGTTGCCGTAGCCTGGGCGAAGGCTTGCGTTTATCTTATTATTTTCCGAGAGGATGATGGCTTGAAAGGGGCCGGTTGAGTTGGGCGTGTCGGTTTGGGGGAGCGACGGCGGGAAGCTCTGGTCACGCGGCAGAGGAAGAGGGTGAACACGTGCAAAGTGGGTGAGGCTGGAGATAAATACGCTTGAGCGCGAGGGAGGTTGTGCGCCTGACTCCTGAGGCAAGAAGAACCGAAAGCCAATCAGAGGCTGGGAATCCACACCCACTGGCAGTCGCTTCCAAGTGGGTGCCTCCTTCCCCGATTGCCCCGAGCCAATCCGCATTCCGAAGAGGGGCACCTGCCGCAACAGCGCCCCAGCCTGAGAGATGTGTTGTTGCTTGTTATCGACTTTCTTTACTGTTGGCCGGCTCGACACGTCGTCTTCTTGTTAGCGATGGACCGGAAGACTACTGCGAGTAAGGTAGACTGCAGCAGGGGTAGCTTCGACCGGTCTGAAGATGTGGGCTTATCCTCCTTTCTTAGCCTTAGCTACCCAGTCCGTACGCCCTTCTGTGCATCTGGGCGTAGGTACTCTTCGAATCTACGTCGAGAAATGCCGAGCCTCGTCAATCACCTGATGCTCCCGTGGGCTGCCAACTTGAATCACTTGACTGATGGGCTGTGAGACATTCCAGTTTGAAGAGAAGCACAGCAGATACACCGGCTCCGAAGTAGTCTCGACCGTTGCTAGCCACCGTCTGCCTCGCTTCAGTGCTACCTCTCCCCAAGCTCTCATATCGTATCTGCTTACGGATGCTGGTCGCAGCAAGTGACATCTGAGCCTTGGAGAGCGGGGTTGTGGCTGGACCGAGCTCATACTCCACCGAACGGAATCCTTACATAAGCAGACATAAGCCACACGTGCGGTCTGTGCAAGACAGCACTTCACGTCGGGTCTGTCACTGATGGATGGATGGAGGTTCAAAGCATGAGCTGGACATAGGGACAAGAATGTCGGCCTTTCAGAACTTGGGATTTTGGCAGCAGGGCAGACGAATCGTTCTCAAATCTTGTTTTCAAGTAATCAGGCCTCCTAGAATATCGAAAGTATCTGGAGCAACCTGGAGAATTGTGTAGTAATTATGACAAGACAGCTTCCCGAAAGACCTGCAGCTCTCTGTTACGGAAAGATTCCGGCCCCGCCACGTTCGGCGGCATAACGTCAACTGCTGCTAGCGGCCGTACCAATGCACCGACCTCCCAACTACGAGCCTTCGACGAACGCCTTTTTGGTTACTTTTCAAGCCATACCAACGACATCAGCATTCAACTTCTTATCCTACGAACAAGACGTAAAAGAAGGTCCAGTAGTCCATTGACACGTCCGTGAAAGTCGCCAAGATGGGCGACCATGAGCACGCTACAATCAAGCATCAGGACCATCTTCTCCTCGTACGTCGCTGCGTCACAGGAAGCTAGTTATCCAGACACAGCACTAACCTCCATTCCAACTGACAGGATCAACCCCTCCTCCGCCTCCCGTACGAGCTCCTTCGAAAGAATTTCCGATCCGCCCACTTTACCGTCGAGAAGGACTCTTCGGCCATCAAGACCTTGCTCAAGGAGACCGCCACGGCCTCGGTCAAGGGCAACTCATCACCTGACGATGTCCTCCGTAACCTCGATAGCATGATCGCCCGCATGCGCGGCGTCAAGCGCAAGCTCACTGCTCACGCCGAGGAAGAGGCCCGTCTGACCCGTCAAACCGGTGCCCGCATTTCCCATCTCGGCGATCTCTACGGCATGCACTCCGTCGACGACGTTAAATACGAGGCCTGGAGCCGCGCCCGCCTCGACCGCTTGCTCGTCGACTACCTGCTTCGTCATGGCTACAACGAAAGCGCCCAGGCACTCACCACCGAGCGCAACATGGATGACTTGGTTGACGTCGAGACATTCGTTCAGATGAGTCGAATTCAAGAATCTCTCAGGGGAGGAAGTGTTGTCGAGGCGCTGGCTTGGTGCCAGGATAACAAGAAGGAGCTTCGCAAGATGGATGTGCGTCTCGCTATACACCCAACTTTGCTTGGCGAATTGACTGACCTTGTGTAAACAGAGTAATCTCGAATTCATGCTCCGCTTCCAGCAGTATATCGAGCTCGTCCGCACCCAATCCCAGCCAAAGCTCCTCGAGGCCATCGCCCACGCGAAGAAATATCTTGTTCCTTTCAAGGCGACATATCCGGACGAGCTTCGCAAGGCCTTTGGCTTACTTGCTTATCCACCGACGGCTGCCAATGCCGTGTACTCAGACCTCTACAGCCCAGATCGATGGAACACCCTCGCCGACCTATTCACCCGCACCCACAATAGTCTGTTGGCTCTGCCTTCATATCCCCTCCTCCACATCGCTCTCTCATCAGGGCTTTCGGCCCTCAAGACCCCAGCCTGCCATTCTCTGAACTCATCGCACGTCGCCGCCGACGCCAACACGGCAACAAATGCCTCTGCTACAGCAGGCACGCAGTCCGTTTGTCCAATATGCTCAACAGAGCTCAATGATCTTGCCCGCAACGTTCCCTACGCGCATCACACCAAGAGTTACGTCGAGCATGACCTGCTGCTATTGCCGAATAGTCGGGCGTATGGCAAGGAACGCCTCGAGGATTACGCAAAGAAGTCTGGATTGCCACCAGACCAGGTCAAGGATTTGCGCACCGGCGAGGTCTACCCTATGGACAAGCTTAAGAAAGTGTTCATCACATAGTTCTTGGCACGGTGCATGTGATGATTCGTCAGGCAAGGCCGATTTACCAAGGTTTTCTTACTCGGTGGGCACATCCCACACAGCGTCAAAGATTGAAAGCATTTTGAATATCGGAGCGGGTTTTTCGGTTATGGCGTTTTTGGGCCGTTGCGTGGGATAAGGATACGCGGCCACTGGTGACACAACTCTTGTACAGAGAAAAGTAGATCATAACGGAGCGTCTACGAAGAACACTACTTTGTCTCTGTCTTCTGCTCATACCCCGTGATACCTGAAATCACCTCCTCGACGACCTGTTCCTTGACCTTCTCAATGCTCGGCGTCACCGGCCGGCTCTCCCGGTCAAAAATGCGAATGTGCTGCCTCTCCGCCACGTACTCGCTATCAGCGTACCCCAGCAGGCCCCCAATATCGGAGCTCTGATGGCCCCTGATGCGCATGATCTCCGGCGCAGCGTAATTCACAAGTGCGCGGCCGACCTCGACGGGCGTGCCGCCCCACAGCTTCCCAGTGGTGCTAGGCGCGTGCAGGCGGTCCACGACGACGAGGCGGACGGCCTCCTGCTGCGCAAAGTTGCCCTCGACGTCGAGGACGCCCGCGGGCAGGAGACCCGCTTTGCGAAGGAGGGCGCTGTGGGCGCCGGCGTCGATGTAGAGCGTGCCGTGGGGCTTCAGGCCGTGGATGAGCCAGAAGTGGCGGTCGCGGATGGGGTCTGCTGAGGGGAGGAAGCGGGTGTGTAGCGGGGGCTTCTCGACGGCTTGGTCTAGGCGGAGGGAGGCCGTTGACTGCGCGAGCGGGTCTTCGGTATGGTCGTGGTCGTGGGAGTCGTGGTGGTTATCGGGGTCCTCGCCGTCGGGGGCGGCGTGGAGGTGCGGGGAGGAAGAGGAGGAGTACCTTTGCTGGGCTTGGACGTAGCGGACGATCTTGACAATGTTGCCCGGGTTGGAGGAGCGGGTTATGACGGTTGTCACGCCTGCTTGGGTTGCTAGCCTCGCGGCGACGATTTTGGTCATCATGCCACCGGTGCCGAGGGCGGAGCCTGCTGTTGAGACTTGTGTTGAGAGGTTGGGTTAGCTTAGGTGAGACTAAGGCCACCTCCCTTTTCTGCTACGTAAAGGGGGAAGGGTTGTCTGCTTGCTTACCATCTGCTTGGATACTTGAAATGTCCTCAACCACCTCGATCGCCTGGGCGTCGGGGTGCGCTCTGGGGTTCTTGTCGTAGAGGCAGTCCACATCCGTCATGAGGAACAGCATGTCTGCGTGGACCATACCAGCGGCGATGGCGGAGAGGGTATCGTTGTCGCCAAACTTGATTTCCGAGACGGCTAGCGTGTCGTTCTCGTTGACGATGGGGATGACGCCCATGTCAAGGAGCTCGTTGAACGTGTTTTGGGCATTGAGGTACCGTGTCCGCTGTAATTCTATGTCAGCGCCCGACTTGGTTGTCCATTTCTACAGTTTGACCTACGTCTGCAATGTCGTTCCTGGTGAGTAGAATTTGGGCGACGGGTTGTCTGAAGTGGCCAAACAGATCGTCCCACAGGCTGATGAGTCTACATTGACCGATAGCCGCTAAGGCCTATGAGCGTCAATGAGCGTGAGCAACTCCAGAGATTGAGGAGTCGAGAGTATGAGTTTTACCTGTAATGTTGACAAGTGCTTTGGCCGTCTGTCCATCTCCATTCGAAGGAGACCGACGCCGATGGCGCCAGATGAGACAATGACCACCCTATGGCCATCTTTTCTCAACTTCACAGCCGTCTCAACGATGAGACTTAGGATGGAAAGCAACGGCTGATGTGTCTTCTCGTCCACGATAGAGCTGGTGCCTATTAAACGAATTAGAATGAATCATCGCAGTAATTGGGAACCTTTGATAGACTCACCGAGCTTCAGCACCACCGTCAGAGGTTTCCGGCCCTCGCGGTGCTTCATGTCTGCAGACAATGATATATCAAGTCAGTAAAACAAGTCTCACTTAACTCATCCGACCCTGCCCCGAAGATGAGAGAACGACATCGACAAAGAAGTATAAATAAGGTAGTGTCAAGAAGGGGACGACTACGATCAACGCAAAGAGCCGCCCAGACAAATGGCAGCAGGCGCATTACGTAGGAGGGGTGGGAAAAATAACTGGATCCCTTTCTTACACGTAGGACCACCTTCTTCCGCCATTGCCAGAGTTAGCCCGGATGCTTCGAAGTTCCAGGTAAAATGTGGGACGAAAAAAAGGATCCGCCTGGTTCTGATGTGGTGATGTGTGCAAGGCCCCTGGTCAGTTTACCGCGCCCTTTGTCGTGTCTTTTGACCTGCCGGTCGTGTGTGTACCTTTTTCCTTCTTGCTGAACCTATGACTGGGCCGGCGTGGAAGTGTAAAAAAAAACTGGCCCGACATCGGGATCGTCCGGTGTAGAGGAAAGGCGGGAGAACGCCCGGGAGTTTGGCTGCAAAAGAGGACTGTGATTGGGCGGTTGTCCTGACCCTAAAATCCGGGGCGGATGCCCGTTGTGCACCCGGCGGGCATCTTCACCGTTGGTCTTGATGACCTGGTCCTCTTATAACCACTATCCCTGCCCACCAGCGACTCGTCGGTGTTATTCAATTCCTATCGTGTCTCGAATAAGACACTCGATGGGCCTGAATCGCTGTTCATGTCGTTTCCACGTAGCATTGTATACTAAGGAGAACTGGACAGGGCGCGCCCTAGGCAGATCTGCGTTCTGTCAGGTTGACCAGCGGCTACAAGTCAAATCACCGCAGTTACGTTCCAAGAGGACCAGGTAGCCAGTTATTATGTCGATGTATTCTTCAGAACTACAATTTTCAACGAAATGCAATTCCTGCAAGTAGTGTTCCAGGAATGTAGCGCTCGCTCTCTTGTTCCGCAAGGAATGATGAGATGATGGAGTGGCCAAGGTACCGTCACTGAGGTGGTCACACTGACAGGCTTATCGATAACGGCCAAAAATTCCCGATCTTCCAACGACGACCTCCATCCTTGGCCAACCACCACCCAATCCTAAAGTTGTAAACGCCCACAATCAGCGACGAACCTCGTTCGAACCTCGAAGCACAATCGATCCCTCAACCACACGACGCTCAAAATGACGATCCTCGACGACAAACAAGCGGCGGCACTGGCCCCCGAAGCCCCCTCAACAGCGACCCTTTCCCCGGCAACATCATCAACACCCGCCCATCAACAGCAGAAACAACCGCCGCGCGAGCTCACCAACGACCCCGCGCGCACCGGTTTCGACCCGCAGACAAAGTGGTGGATGAACTATTTCAACGTCCTCACGGGACGCATGACAGCCGAGGGCGCCTTCCACTATCGCGAGGCCCGGTACCGCGCCAACGAGGAACGCGACTGCAAGCGCTGCGAGAAGTACCGCGACTGGCTCCTCGACTACTCACCGACCGTGCTCTTCCTCAACGACAAGATCGCCGGCCTCAACGGTACCCTCGACGCGTCCAATATCCAGTGCCGCCGGTGCCCCGCACGCCTGACCGAGGACGGCGAGGTCCACCGCCAGTCGGGCGGCTTCAGCCCCGCCCACGGCATCATGATCTGCGCCAACGAGGTCAGGAACCGGAAGCACCTGGAGGACACGCTCTCGCACGAGATGGTGCATGCGTGGGATCACCTGCGGTGGAAGGTGGATTGGATGGGGGATCTGGATTTGAAGCATGCGGCGTGTACAGAGGTAAGGTTTCCTGTGTCCTGGCGCTGGCTGACCCTGGGCACACAGGCGGGGAGAAAGGAAGAGACTGAACTGACGGGACTGCAGATCCGAGCATCGATGCTCAGTGGCGAGTGCAGATGGACGAGAGAGGCCTTCACGAGAGGCAACTGGAGTCTGTCTCAGCAGTTCCAGGACTGCGTGCGGAAGCGCGCGATACAGTCCGTCCTCAACCGACCCAGGTGCAAGGACGATGTGCAGGCGACCAAGGTGGTAAACCAGGTCTGGGAATCCTGTTTCAACGACACGCGGCCCTTTGATGAGGTCTATAGGTGATGGACGACAACGACAGGTTCGGGCTCGTACACAAACGAGCGTGTGTAACAATACCCCCCCTTCACTGATGTACTATTTCTTCCCTCTCTCTCACGGAAGGCACAATGGCAAATATAGCAAAAATGTTTTGATGATGACTATGCTTCTTTGGGTTTATACTCTGAAAACGACGGACATTAAGACACCAACTCCCGTACATGCATTTGGAAACACCTTCCTCACTCCTATAAACCCCAAGCTGTAGATCAGAGCCCGCCTGAATACCGCAAAGAAGAAGAAAACGCCGTTAATCCTACAAGGGCCGTTATGCCTTGATGGTATGTATGCATGAATCATAAGGGTCATTATTTAGGAGCTCTTCTCACGGTTGGCGGCTCTCTCGCCCTTCACACAGTGCTTGACGATCCACGGGTGGGTTTGGACCTGCTCCAGGGGTATTCTCTTCTCGGGGTCGAGAACAAGCAACTAGAGACAATGTTAGCATTTGTTCTTGTCGATCATGCATATAGATCGATGCTGCCTCACCTTCTTGATCAGGTCCTTGGCCTCGGGACTGACAAAGGACGGAACCGTCATGTCAGCCCGCGCTATCCTCCGCTGCGTCATCACGGGCGTATCCTCAAACGGTGCCTCGCCGACAAGGAACTCGTACGTCAAAACACCCAAACTCCAGAGATCAACCTTCTCGTTGTAGTAGTTATCCGAGCTACCGGGCTTGATCATTTCCGGGGGGAGGTAGTCCAGGGTACCGCACATGGTGTTGCGACGGTTGTTGGGGGCGTGGACGCTCCAGCCGAAATCGGAAATCTTGATCTCGCCATGGATGCCCATGAGGATGTTCTCGGGCTTGATGTCACGGTGGATGACGTGCTTGCGGTGCAGGTAGCGCAGCGCCGAGGCCATCTGGGCAATGTACTGCGCCGACTTCCATTCGGGGAACCTGCTCTCCTTGCGCAGGTGCTTGTACAGCTCGCCCTTGCCGGCAAACTCGAGGATGAGGAAGACGCGCTTGCTGTCGTGGAAGTGGCCATACAGCTGGAGGATATTGGGGTGGCGCAGGTTGCTCTGAATTTCGATCTCGCGGCGGACCTGCTTCTCGACGCGGCCCTGTTGGAGTTCGTTCTTGTGCAGGACCTTGAGGGCGCAGATGAAGCCGCTCGTGCGCTCCCTTGCGAGGTACACGCGACCAAACTTGCCCTTGCCCAGCGGCCGGCCAATCTCAAACATGCCGAGATGGAAAACCTTGGGCATCGAGGGCTCGAGGACGATGGAGACGCCGGACTTGCGCTCGATCTCGACGACCTCGTCTGACGTTCTCGAAGAGCTGGACGGCAGGGGCTTTCTGGCAGGCGATGCCGGGTTCTTGGCCTGTCGTTGTGCGTTTTGTGATGGCAGGGTTACCGAGGCGACGGCGTTGGTGCTCTGCGATTGGAGGGCGACCTTGATGAGGTTCGGTCTGCTCGAGCTCTGGGAAAGCTGTGATGTCTTCACCAAAGTCTACGGAGCGATGGTCAGCTATGATATCACACGGCGAGTATATGTGTGTCGACGAGACCAACCTGAGTCTTAGAGTAGAGCTTGCCGCCGTCGACAGGCTCATTCTCGTCGTTCACCGACATGCGCTCAAAGCGCGATTCCAGCGTCCGAGCCGCCATCTTGCTATGTGATGGTGGACGGAGATGTAGCAAGTCGAATGTTCCCTGTTGGTTAGAAAAAGTGCACTGAATGGTTTTTGAATCTAGGAACCTGGAGTTGGTTGTCAAGTTATTAAGAAAGGTTCTCGGGTAAGGATGGACGACCTAGGTGTGTGGGAAGCTACCTAAACAACGGGGGTGAGGATGGTTGTCAGGGAAACGACGGCGCCGGCGCCAGGGCAGCGACCCGCCCCGCTCTTTCAGATCTCCCCCACTTCCCACTTCCTAGACGACCGCCTCAACTTTGCTCTCCGCTGTCAGCTTGATCTGAAATGGTCATATTTCCCAAGATCTGTGTTGGCTAGACCGTGTCTACTCGATTGACTCGCTTCTTTCAGTCATGTTTCACACCGTGCACGTGGGATTCAACCTGACTAGATTGAATTGCGTTGTTTTCGAAAGGCCGGCCTTGAGCAGATGTGACGACGACATACCCCGAAGCTCTAGTCACCATAGTCTGCTCTTGTTCTTTCTATTCAGTCAAGAATACCTCCAACAGCTCGGCCGAGGGCAAAGATGGCCACTGTCGCAGCTCGTAGAGCTCTCTCAGTTGCGGAGCACTAGCGTGGTAGATCAAGTGCTCCTCGACGTGGCGGTACGCGGTAAAAGCAGCTTGTCGTCGAAAGTCCCGCTCCGAGTCGGTCATATTGACGCAGGCCGAGAGGTATTTCCCCATGGCCGTATCAGCTCGCTGGACAGCCATCTTGAGCTGGTTAAACTGATCTTTTCCGATATCGCGTCTGATCCCAAAGAATATATTGAGGACTGCTAGCGCGTAGAGCCAGCCACAAGATATCAAGCCTGCGAGGGTTGAATAATTTGTACAGTACAGGGCCTCCAGATCTGCCTTTTCGAGCATGCCGTACTCCAAGAGCATTATGTCCACATCGACTTGACCCCACATTCTCTCAAGCTTTGCGCTCTCGTGCCTCATACCCCCTTTGCGCAGAGAGAAGAAATTCCAGGCACATCGCCAGTGGAGGTAGATGATCCAGGTGTTGCTTAACAAGGAACGAGGATCGTTTTTAGAAGTCCTAGCCACTGCGGATTGGAGTTTTTCTTGCCAGCCTAAAGCCGTCAGGAATCCCGCAGCCGATGGAAGGCCGAGTTGAAGCCATTCCTGGTTCACTTCGTATGATGTTTCCGGCAACGCCTTGGTTTCCAACCAGGTCTCTTTGTCGAGAGTTCGCTTGGCGAGGCAGCTGCCGTCCCCGCTACCCGGGCAAATCTGTGGGGATGTACGGAAATGGATGTCCCTTAAAAACTCGTCGCAGGATCGTGGGGGATGGCCTGAAGGTAGAGGGAATCGGGATTCGTTTTTTTCCAGTTTTCGAAGCCATTCTTGTGGTACCGGAACTAGGAGGACTTGTCCACATCTGTCGCACCTAGCGAGGATCCTGACGCTAGGCCCTAACTGTCCGACGTCTTTGCTGAACATTTCCAAAGGAGAGACGCGGTTGTCGACTACCTTTGCCTTGGTAGTGACGCTTCGAGTTGCTGCTGTAGTAGCAACCGATGTGGTTGGAGCAGCGCTGCGCCATGGCTTGTGGCTGTCGAATCGCTGTCGGTCAGGAGCTGTGGGTTGACACCAATGTTGCTTTTGTAAGTAGGCCATGTTCGAAAGCCCTCTGGCTACTGAATTTCGGTCAGGTTGCTTAAGTCTATATAGTATCGGCGGCAATTACAGACACAGTGATTTCTGAAAGTTCTTGGGTTATCGATTTGCGGTGAAGCTGCTGGGGTCAATGCTGTATTGGTCGTGGTAATAAGAAAAGAAGAACAAGCTAGACTTGGTACCAGGGAAGGCACCTTGAAATGCCACTCTGGTGACCTTTCGGAGAAACCCGTACCCTATGTACTTTTCGTCCTTTCGGAGATGGAAACAAGAGGTATCTCCCCATGGTCGTATCAGCTCGCTGGACGGCCATCTTGAGCGGGTTGAACTGCCACTAATGCTTATTCATCGCTTCCGTTGTAGGACTGGTCGGAATCACCGCTGGAGCACTGAAAGTTCGACAAAAACAAATGGGCAGCACCCACATCGGCTGGTATTGATTCTTATTGTTCTAGGCACGTAAGTGCGTTGAAAAGACGAAATGGGATGCCGCTTGATACCCTTCCTATCTCTCTTCCTACTACTCTATATGGAATGTATGATAAATAGAAAATGTTAATGGCAGGAAGAATAGAAATAGAGCTAAGTACTTCGTATTGGGCGGCAGACCATCGTGCCACCCACTTGCCAGGGAAGGCATCTTGATATGCCACTCTGGTGACCTATTTGAAAGACCCATGCCTACCTTTTGGGAGAAGAAGGGTTGCACAGGGCAAATTAAGATGGAAGGATGCACCATGCCGAGGCCATAGACGACCTTCTGCTTCTAAGTGATATATCCTGTGACTTTGGGGCCGAAAGTCAAGTCACCACTCGGAGTGCAAAAATAGTCTCTTAGACCCGAGTCATCTCACCATGTTGGACTTCGTGTTCATTGCCGTATCTTGGGTCAACGGGGCATTTAGTTAAAACGGGGGAGGTCTCATTCTTTACTCTTTGCCTTACACTTCTAATGACTCCATCATGTACTTAGTAAGGACGTTGCCTTGAGGTGGTATCCCTGGGTGTTGACTCCAGGAAAGGTTCAGGGTACAAGTGGTCCAGCTTTGCCAAAGCTTCCAACCTAGGTACCTAGGTCGCGCACATCCAGAGATAGGTACATACCCGGCTTTCATCTGGTTTAAGAAGGCCTCATATATCCCTTCAACTCCATTCCGGTCGCCAATCCAGCAGGCGCCCTCTAGGTCGAGGGTCAGGTCAAACTGGGGCGTGGTGGTGGAATGGTTGATGGTCAATAATCAATTTCTACACCAACCAGCCTATTCGACGACAGAATTAGCCCCAACTCAGCACCGGGGGGTTGAACTCTTCTGTCTTTTTGGACATGTCGATTTATACTCGGTCTCGGTGTAAGTCGGTGAGTTACACCAAGTGACGTCCAGTCGCTTTGCCGCCACCCCTCACCGAGACAAGCAGGGATCCGGGCCCCGAGACTCTTTGGTGTTCCCCGCCAACCCCACCATCACCACCTCTCTCTCCCCCTCCCCCCTCCCCCAACTGAACAGGAGCTCCAACTGCAAGCCAGCAGACCTTACCTCCGATCCGAGCTGCACCGCCTCCAAACCTCATCCTCGTCACGAACACCCGCCTGCGCGCGCCCTTTTCAAATCCCACCTAATCCGACACAACCAAAACCAAGAAGACAGGAAAGAAATTCGCCCAAGATGAACCACATAACCAACCCAAACGAACCCTTCCCAACCCCCTCCGCCCTCGCCGCCGCAACAACAACCCACACCCAGCGCAACTTCCGCGTCGCCTCCCGCAAGCTCCCCATCTCCAAAGCCGGTCCCATCGACGACATGACAGCCTCCCTCGGCATCCCCGTCCCCGAAATGATCTTTGGCGACAACCTCGTCTCCGTATCCCACATGCCCACGGGCTGGTCCATCGCCTTCAACGCCTACGACGCGCTCGACGCCGTTGACAAGACGGACAAGAAGATGTTGCAGGTCGCCTACGCGCGCGACTGGTCGTCCTCGCGCGAGAAGACGAGCGCGGGCATCAAGGAGGTCGTGAAGCCATATGACTGGTCGTACTCGACCGAGTACCGGGGGACACTGGAGGAACCTACGAGGAGCGCGGGCGCCGCGGACGCGCAGCAGGGAGAGGCGGGGGAGGAGAACAAGAATAAGCTCGAGGAGACGACGACGAGGATGATCCCCCTCGAACTCCTCAAGCGCCGCGATCCGATCCTCTTCTTTGACGATGTGGTGCTCTTCGAGAGCGAGCTCGACGACAACGGCATCTCCATTGTCAGCGTCAAAGTCCGCGTGCACGAGAAGCGCATGCTGCTGCTGTGCAGGCTCTTCATGCGGCTCGACAATGTGATTGTGCGGATCCGGGACACGAGGGTGTATGTCGACTTCGAGACGGACGAGGTTATTCGGGAGTACACGGCCAAGGAGGATAGCTTTGACAGCGTCAAGCGGGTGAGTTCAAGTCTCTCTTTCCCTTACCCCTTTTTTCTTTTTAGAGTCACTGCCATTATTTTCTCCTATACGATATTGTAAAATGTTAACTGACAACTCCGCAAAGTCGCTGTTCATGGAGGGGCGGTTGCCGGATGACATTGTCATCGCACTTCGTGACCCAAACTTGCTCTACAATTTGCTGCCAACTGTCGAGCAGACGGTACAGAGCGTGTTCCTCAAGAAATGATGACGGGCTGTGCTTAACCCCTCGCGTGTTGCTTCATAAGAACATCCCTCCTTGCGAGGGGGATGGCTGGCGTTTTGGGCCAAGGAAAGGCGTTTCGGATGAACCAGGGAAAAGTTTTACGGCATCGCACTTTGGGTATATCACAGTTGCCTCAGGGGAATTAAATGACCAACAATTCTTGCGAAGAAATGAACTAAGCTCTGTTTGTGTCACTTGACTGCAGTCTCTCTGGGGTAATCGTAAATAATGAACCGCATCAGACGCTAAACCATCAACAAGGCAACAAACGCAGCGTATACGCCAGAGCTCAACATCAGCTAATCCACGGGGTGACAACACTCCCAATTCAGTCCGTACAAGTTCTTGCTGACTTCATGAACAAAAACATGCGCAAAAAACTCCCACCCTGTCCCTCAGAACACCGTGCCCTCCATTTTATTCCACCAAGCCAGCAACCCGTCAAAGTAAGGTATGTCGAACACAATTTTGCCCTCCCGTCGCTTCTCACCGCGCATCTCGATTGGGCGATGACCCCTCTGTCATTTCTTCAAACTCGAGCTGCCAGCGGTCAACTTCCCTAAACTTGCGTGTTGCCTTCTTCAGCTCATCGGCACTGCGCGCCGGATCGCTGCTCTCTTGGCTCTCGAGAACGTCGTCTCGGACGGGGGCGAAGCTGTCACCCTCGATTCCCGCTTCGGGTTCTGTTCCAATCTCTGCTTCAGCCCCCTCAGCCTCAGCGTTCCCCTCGCCCTCGCCCTCGCCCTCGTTCTCCTTGTCCGAAAGCCTGCGGCTGTAAGTGCGCGTAGATGCGCGAGTGGTTGGCGCCGCTGCTTTCGCCTTTCCTGCCGCCGCTGCGGCTCGACCGCCACGAGACGGTGGCCTGTTGGCTGTGCTGCGGTTGAGAGGCGTTATCTTTGCCCGCCGTGAGCGAGTTCTTGTATCTGCGTATGAAAGCTCGTCGTCATCCTGGGAGGCATCGGAGTTGCGTGCCTCCTCATCGTCAGAGTTATCCATGCTATAGGGGTCTCCTCGATGCTTCTTGGCGCGCCTACGCGGCAGCAAGCCCGTCAAATCAGCAGTTGTAACCTTCGGTGCCTTGGCCTGCTTCTTCTGTTTAGACTTATTCCTTGTCGCCGGGAAGTTGGGCGAGTGGGTGAGAGAAGGCGGCGAGGAGGCATCGGAGATGTTGCCATCCCGCGTTGGCGTGACTGGCGCTTGGCGGCGGCGCTGTTTGGCAAGTGTGCGAATGTCTGGCCACGCCTCGTTATTATCTTCCGAGTCACTGCTCTCAGGAGGTGCCATAATGTCCTCTTGATTCGGAGTGGATGGCCGCGGGAAAGCAGAAGGCCTTGTGGGAGTCAGAACAGGAGAAGGCAGCTCAGAGAGCTCCGAATCACTGTCATCGTCATCATCCAACTCAGGCGCGGGCTCAGATTCAGTCCGCGACACCTTTCCCGGACGCTCAGCGTCCTCGTGACTTTCTATGCTCTTCCGCTTCCGTGAGCTGGCGCTTGTTGGCTCAGCATCTTTCTCGGCGGGCTGGGAATCCGGCGCCAGAACCTGCTGCGACTCTGACTCCAGCTCAGTTGCTGGAGGTTGTGTTCTGCGGCGATTCTGAAGAGGCGTCGACTCGGCCTCGGGTTCAAAGTCTTCACCGTCCTCGTCATCGGACTCGGATCCGGATGATAACTCAATAGGCCGCTGTGCGCGCTCCTTCTGCGCCGTGCCCAAAATACTCGGTTCTCGTTGACGGCGTTTGAAAACACCGATGTTGAAGGTCGAGCTAATGCTCGGCGTACCACCGACCCCGCGACTGCTTGGTCTAATGGGCGCATCGTCCTTGTTGATACTGATACTCGGCGCGCGACCGCGACCCTTCCGTCTAAAGTGACTGACACTGATGTTTGAGGCTTCAGACCGCGGCGCACTTGGAGGCGCAGCGGCATCATCGTCGTCGTCGCCGATAGTAGTGTCAAGCCCTGTAAACATCTCGTCGTCCAGATCCAACCCCGTCGTGTCTCTGCGCTGCTGAACAGGCGTCGCGCGAGTCTTCCGTCCCACTTCGACCGACGAATCTGATTTCTGCTGCTCGCTTGAAGTCTTTCCTTTGGAAGCCGCCGTCTCGACTGCGTCCTGCAGCTTGCTAATATTGTCGTCCCATGCATGACCCGCCTTGGCTGGCACCTGCCTCTGGCGCAAGCTAGAACTCCTGCCTAGGCGCGTAGACGGGCCTTCCTTGAAAAGAGATGTGTCCTCCTCTGCAAGCTCCTTCCTGATGACAGAATGTTCGCGATCGCTGTGGCTGTAGATGTCGCTGCCCGAGGCGGGCGCGGGGCTCGATCTTGCTTCAGGCGCGGCGGCGGGCACGGCTGCGACTGGTTGAGTTGGTGCGCGACGCGCTCGCTTGGGTCGTGGCATGGTGGGCGGTCGTCGTTGATGGAAACTATAGGAAGCTTTGGGTAATAGCTAACCAAAACTATGTAAAGTTGTCGTGAAGGATTGTCATACGAATATGTAGGCCGGGGCGTCAGGCTGCGACCTATAGTGATGGGACGGGGGGAGGGTCTGTGATATTTTGATGTGGTGTGGGAGGGAAACGCCTGCAGGCCGGACGCGTCGCGAACTCGAACCTTGCTAGACCCAGTTCGCGACCCACCCTCAAATTGAAAGCAGAGAGCTAGCGCCACACCACCAGCCACAATTTACTTGGAGAAACTGTCAACAAGCTGTCACAGACTCACAGTTCATCATGCATGACGTTGTCGAAGTTTACCGGAGGGACGTGTTGCTAGCAATGGCTTGGTCTATTGGTTGGTAGTAAGTGTTTCATTAGGGAGCTGAGACCTCGCTCTTCGCCATTGTGTCTCCTGAGCCGAATGTATATCAGGTATCTGTGCATCATCCCATCCCTTTACCTTGACTCTATCTTTTTTCAGTGGTATACAAGGTGTTTTACATGACTGTTGTACAATGATTTTGTTTGCCTGTGTCCTGAGTGGCCACTAAATGAGTGCCTGACCCATGAACATGCTCTCCTTAACCTCGGCAACGACGTCCTTCTTGTCATCCTTGCCAACAAGCACAATGCCTCTTCCACGTCGTCCCATGCGACCAGCTCTTCCCAGGCGATGGATGAAGTCGATTGTGGTGTGCGGGACATCGTAAAGAATGACGTGACGGACAGCCAACGTGTCAATACCTCTGGAAGCCAAGTCGGTGGCGACAATAACCTTGGTATTCGGTAGCGATCGTTTGCCAGGTACGACGGCCTCTGGCGACGACACGGCGCGCAGAGGTTCTGATGAAGTGAATGCTTGCAGCATCTCGGACTGGCGACTCTCAGCCGAGTCTCGGTTCAATGCAACAGCATCGATGCCCTTGGACTGGAGATACTCGGCAACCTCTGTTGTCTTCTCGCGTTCGTTGACAAACACCATGATTCGGCGGACGTCGATTTCACCTTGAATCGGACCCTCGTGCTTGGAAGCTTCTCGGCCAATGGTGTAGATGGCATCGGCGCAGGCCAGATTTTTGTTGTTGCGATAGGGGTCCTTGACAACATCGATGACACCGAGCTGAACCCTTCTGGGGATAGCATGAAGATTCGGCGTCGTGATTCTTGTCATGTCGGGGAAGTTGTTTGCGAGGTAGTTATCCAGTCTCTTGGGGATTGTTGCTGAGCAGAGGATGAACTGCTTCAAAGACGGCATCGCCCTGTCGATGATGGTCGTGGTAACAGGGGCAAAGCTTCGGTCAAAGAGCGAGTCCGCCTCGTCGACAATCAGATGGGTGACCTGAGAAAGAACGTTGGGATCGGATTCGGCGATCGAGGCTAGTAGGTGAGGCGTCGTCACGACCATGTCGACGCCACGCGGCGAGTACAGGTTGCGCTGGATCGTCAGCGCCTTGAGGTTAGCGGAAAGAATTTCCGCCTTGAACTTGACGGCGTGCGACAGAGTCTTTGCCACCTTTCCAACCTGTTCGACGAGCTCTGCTGAAGGGACCAGGACGATTATGCGAGGTCTAGCCATGGTCGGGTGAGGCTCGTCGAATGCAGACATCTTCTTTGACTTTGGCCCCTTGTTGGCCATCTGCTCTCTTTCCTTCTCCTCCTGGAAGCGCTTCATGAAGGACTGAATCTCGGGGTTGGCCTCCTCAGCGATCTTCATGGCGTTGACGGCCGGTAGCATGTAAGCCAGCGTCTTGCCAGAACCCGTCTCAGCTGCAAGGAGGAAGTCTTGCCTCTTCACGCCCCGGACTTTGAATGCGCTTGACTGGCCCAGCATGGCCGGAATAGCAAGTCTCTGGATGGGCGTAGGCTTGAGGTCCACCATTCCTCGCAGCAGGTCATCCTTGATGCCATCCTTCATAATGGGCAAGAGGTTGAACTGGTCGAAAGACTCGTATTCTTGCATCTTATCCTTCAAAACGTTTCTCTTTCCGTATGACACACCCGCCAGAGACCGTTGCATTTTCAAAGCCTTTCTCGGATCGGAAGAGGTCTGGGAATCGCCTCTGCTGTACCTGCTTGAAGAGCCTCCCCTCGAGTCTCTTGCATCCCTAGCATTGGGAGGACGCGCCGTGCGCCTTTCGGGGACTCTCGCAAACGTTTGGTTCATGCCACCAAAGGGCCCTTCAACTTGTCTTCTCGGCGGTCTAGCCTCTCGGTCTCGGGGTCGTGCAACATCGTCTGAAAGGACCATTCGTGATGGCTTCCCCTTGGTTGCTGAGCGGAAGCCGGCGCTTTGTGTAAACCATGGCGAAGTCGTCAAGCGAGGGAAGGGCTGCGGTCGCAATGTCAAATGACACTTGGGGCATAGCGATGCCAACGTTCGCGACGACATGGTGAGCGATCGCAAAGGTGTCGGCACTGGAGCTGAAGCTTGTTGATGGAGGACTAGCAGACGTAAAACCCCTGGCCTCGAAATTTTTGGAGCTCAATGGGAGTTTTCTGCGCCAGACCCCCACGTAATCGGCGTGGTCTAAGCTCCGCGCCGACCTTTAACAGCGCCACCCGAAATGCCAGTGGCCCGTCATAATGGAAGAGTGTCGCCTGCTGATCTTGAACTTTCCCATTGGATCTACTTCTTTTTATCAATTCTGAATGGATATGTACTATGATCAAAAATGTGATACGTATCCAAACAGTCCTTTCTTACTGAAGAATCATAACAAAACGAGTGGGCGCCTACTTTTCATTACAGCGAAAAATAGAGCAAGAAGAAAAGATATCGATTTTACCACAATTAATCGATTTACGTATGGGAACTACTTCTCGAGACCTGCCATAATGACCTAAGGTACGGGCACGTGTTACATGAGAGCAAGGCCCATCATCCATGCCTCAATCTGTATAGACAGAAGCCTAGAGCAGAGCATTCCATGCTGTAGGGCTGGGTGGCCGTCCGATCATTGCCGTCTCCAGGGAACGGACTCACCGTAGATGTCTTGGCCAAGGATCTGGGAGTAGTAACTGTGGCTGTGGCGCTCTGCAAGGAACTACCCGAACCATTTAGGCCCTGCCGCGTTCTGATGTCCCCCCCCCCCGTGCCCCCCGTGCCCCCCAAACCCGCACTTCAGTCTTCAGCTCAAATCAACCGCCCAGTCGATCCCGGCCCCGTGGAACCTCCCTTGGCCTCTCAGCCCCATTGACCGGTGCCTCTTGCCGAGCGGGCGATCCCCTATTTGATTAACCTGATCTTAAGAGGTCAATTATCCCGTCCCAGTCTACGGATACGGACAAACCTCCTTTGTCTCCTTCATCGTCGCCCGCCCAACGTCAACATCTCCATTTCCCCTTCTCACACTCGGACCTCAAGTTCTGTGAGGACACATTCCCACTATCAACTTGGGTCAGAAAGCATGCGTATTCACAGGTGACGAAGCCGATGCAATGAGTGCCGATCTCTTGGACCTCGACAGCTTCTATCAGAGCCCTCCGTCACAACAAACCCAACCGGGGGGCCAACAGTCACAACCGCAACGCCCGCAGCAGGTTACGGCAACGTCGACAGACCTCTTTGACTTTGCCTCCTTTACCAGCAACAGCGTCAGCAGCAAGCCCGCGGCGGCTCCGGCTCCGGCTCAGCAAACCGTACCATGGCCTAGTTTTGAGCCGCAGCAACCAAGTGGTGCTGGCGGCGGTGGCAGCAGCGGTGGATGGGGTGATTTCGGCGCATTTTCATCAGGTTTCACCTCCTCGTCAACATCGAACCAGCAGCCGAAGCAGACTCCGCCAAACGCCGAGGATGATGATGGATGGGGTGACTTTGAGGTTGCGGAACCTACGCCCACTCAGCGCTCGTTCGTGATGCCCCCACAGACGAACAAGGCGAGGTCATCACCGCCGCCTAGGAACCGCATCGCGCGTGCCTCAACCTTTGATCTCATGACCAACAACCTCGTCAACGTCGTCGACATGCCTTACGGCTCGGGCCTGTCGCCCATACCCAGTCCCGGCCTCCCGTCGCCGAACCACCAACCCGTGGTCAGCTCAGGATCTTCATGGCAGCATGCAAATCGACAACCTAGCCCCGGACTATCGTGGCAGACTGCGAGCACGAAGTCGGCAGTCAGTCCAGGATTCTCATCCCAGACATCTTCGGCGAAACCGCAGCCGAGCCCTGGATTCTCTCATCATATGTACGGGGCTCCGAAGAAGCCGAGTCCGAAGCCCGCGAAACAGTCGGATCCTAATATTCTCTTTGATGCGGAAGAATTTGAGCTTCAGGGAGACAACGATGACGACGATGATGATGAATTTGGAGACTTTGAGACTGTTCAGACTCCCTTTCCCGGCGCGGACATGAGCCCTACTCTAGACTCAAGGCCGCCGACCCAGCGACAGCCACCGCCGCAGCCCGCACAGCAGCTGCCGCCTTCCATGGACCTCCTCTCTCTCGACGACGACCCCATCCCGGTTTCGCAGCCTCCGCCAAAGAGGCCTCAGCTCTCGTCCTTAAACCTCAACGCGCCCACCTCACCGTACCCACAGGCCCCCAAGTCGCCTTCCTTCCAGGAACGTAACCCCTTTCCAGGACTCGGCCTCACCACGCCGACCTATGGCGACTTCAAGAAGGAGGATAAGAAGGACGAGAAGCCTGAGTCGCCCACGCCCGTCACGGCGTGGCCGGCCTTCGGGCAGACTTCGCCCACGAAGCCGTCCGCCGCGAAGAAGCCTTCCGCTACCACTAATCTTCAGAAGACGCAAGAGGAGGATGAGTGGCCAGACTTTGAGGACTTCCCCGACGATGAGCCCTCGGCGATTGATTCTTCAAGGCCCCCCGAGAGCTGGGACTGGGATGCAGTCGATGGTGTCAAGTCGTCCACCCCAGCTCCGGCTCCTAAACCCACCACCGGCACCACCAAGAAAGCAGCTCCTAAACCCAAGAAAGAAGCACCACCAGCAGCACCATCGAGTATCCCCGACGACGCCCCGCCGCCCATCAACATTCCCCCTCCCTCCGTCATCCTCTCCATCTTCCCCCAACTCCTCGACCTCGCAAACTCGTCCCTCTTCAAGCCCACATCCCAGCTGGCAGCGCCCATCCGGAAACGCATCCTCGAAGACCCGAGCACGGTAGTCTTCCTCCGCGGCTACCTCCTCCTCGCCACCGTCGCCGCCCGCGTTATCGCAGGCCGCAAACTCCGCTGGCACCGCGATAAGTTCTTGTCCCAGGGCATGGCCATCTCCGCAGCCGGTGCAAAGGGCATGAAGCTCGCGGGCGTGGATAGAGCGCAGTCGGCACGCGAGGACCGCGAGGCGGCGGACGTGGTGGGCGTGTGGAGGGAACACGTCGGTAGGCTACGGTCCGCCGTCGCGGCGGCCAACTCCACCCCCGGCGCCAAGAACGACCAGCTCCGCGTGCCCGAGCTCAACGAGACGATCCCCGTCTCGACGGCCAAGGTGGTACCTACGGCGCCCAAACCGTGCGTCATCTGCGGTCTGAAGCGCGACGAGCGGGTGAGCAAGGTAGACTTTGAGGTCGAGGATAGCTTTGGGGAGTGGTGGGTTGAGCACTGGGGTCACAGGGCCTGTAAGAACTTTTGGGTTGAGCACGAGAAGCAGTTGCGGCAGAGGTGAAGAGAGACAGAAAGAGAGAGATTTTTTTGTAGTGGCGGACGGGATTTAGTCCACATCTTGTATATAACTTCACTGCACATACATGATACCTCGAGTATTTCAGTTACATGGATTGGGAGGCTAAGTTTTCTTTTTCAATTGTAAAAAAAGAAAGTATCAAGGCCATCCAGATTGATGTATCTCAGCTGATGACAATACGAGTCTAGATGGTCTACCGCTTACTAGTTATAATTTCATGTAAGGATCTCCCCGCCGTTTAGGTGGTCGCCTGCAATGGGACATGTCTACATATGAAGCTTCACTGGCGGGGCCCTGGGGCAAAGTGATGCCCCGAAGAGAACATGCGCAAAATAGTTTTACTCATCTTTGCGGTGGGCAAGTAGCTCTCGGAGGGGCAGGCGAGGAGTTGCGGGATAGGATACTGACCGAGATTCTGTAGCGTCTCCGTCGGTGAGCCAACCGTGTATACTGTACTCAGGCAAGGTATCCCGCGTTGAGCTGTAGCTTATCAAAGGGCAGGGAAGAGGTACCATGGTAAGTGAATGGCATTGGGTGAGAGGGTTGCGCCTGGATTTGTCGACGGTACGATCTACCCCGCTGTTGAGCTGCCTTGGTTGGCCAATCCGGAGTGCTGAAGGTGCAAAGTCTTCAGAGGCTGTCCATTGGCATCGCGGCTCTGAGAGCTAGGGTCTCAGCAGCGACGGATGGCCGGACACTAGTCAAATGTCGGCAACGGCATCATATGGTGACCGGTTAGCGGGGAGGCTGGCATTGAACGAATAGTAGGTCTTGGTTGCTTTTCCTGTGCAGTCCGGGCAGCAAAGTGTGTGGCTTCGAGTTACACCAAATAGGGAGCTCTGTTTCTGTCACAGGAAAGCCGAGAAACTTGACAGATAGGTATGCGGATACTGGGTGTCATGTACTTTGTATGAGCCGAGTCAATGCGGCGCAGGCGCAAACTCCAATGGGATTTCTGACATGCGATTTTGACGGGCGATGGACGGTGTTTTGGGACCGGGACGAGTGGGAGGCTGGATCTATCGGTACCGTTTCGCTAAAGTGTCGGCCGCACTAACCGGCCGCTCGCTCGGCGTGTACATTAGAAAAAGATGGCGGGGAGCCAAGCAATCAAAGTCATCTGTACCCGCCCTGGACACCGGTGACGCACACTGCAGCGCCGCAGCGCGGTGACGGGTGGAGCAGCAAAGTTCCCTTGTTGATCGGAGCGTTCCCGTTCCATGCTGGAGGAGAAGGAGGAGCTGTTGGGGAATTGGTCAGTTCCTGGAGCTTGGGACGCTTGATGCGCTGCGGCTCGAGCCTGCGACAGCTCTGAGGAACTATCTGTCATTGAAGTGCAGACGACGGAGTACTGTGATTGCGATCCGAGCGAGACGAGTGACGGCCACAAGAGCCGTCTGGTCGCATGTCGCGTGTCGCAGGTTGGGTGAAAAACGCCAAGTTGGATTGGACACTTGTTCGATCTGGATGCTCTCCAGCGAAAGGTCCGATGCGGCCGGGTCAGGCACCACTAGATCCCAGGTAGGCTAGCAATGCGCATTACGTTGAAAGACTCAACCCTGGAATGGGAGACGATTCGAGACGGTCGGGAATGCTTCTTCCCTGTCGTGTGCCCTGGCGGGGATCAGTCTGAGGGAGAGCTACAATACTTACTATGTAAGGGTACTGACATGTACTCCAAGAGGCCGCCTGAACGAGGGCCCTGAGCCAAAGTTTGCACCCCACCATCGATGAGGTGTAAGTGGTGTGAGAGACGGAGGGAGAGATAGATGGATAGGTCTATCCTCGTGTGCTGAGGCGAGGCATCGCAGTCCTTGTGTATGGCGTACGTGTCGTTCGCGGAGGAGCGATGGTAACCAGGAGGCTAAGGTGAAGATGAAGGCAGTCGAGGGGTTTTGGAGGGGAGAGAGCTTGGATGTAAGGTAGCTACTTTGTATCTCGTCCCCTCCATCCTCCGTCGTTACCTCACACCTGGTCTTGCCGCATATCCAAAGTCACATCCGTGAGTGCCAGAGAAGACGGGAAATGGCAATAAGATGAAGGGTGGTGTTTCCAGTTTCTTGAAGCCCGCCCGGACGTGGACGGCAACTTGAAAGTTGAGTGAGGTGCCCCTCGGAAGGAAGGAGCCCAAGTGCTAGGTAAGCTCCATGTGGCGTGGAGGGGTCCCGTCCAAGGTGCAGTACCTTCCAAACCTCAAGGAGGAGTACAGGCAAGATACCGTTTGGGAAGCATGTGCAGGAGGGGCAGGATACTTGCTGTGACGATGGCCCTAGCGTTGCGACATGTATTGCTACGGCCAACTTCCGCCGATGAGGTACACGTGATCAAGTGTTGCAAGGTGGGACCACGGGTAGCCAGCGTTGGAGTCTGGATGCGCTTGCCTCTATTCACTGTCGTACCTGCCCGGTCTTCCTGCCCACTCAGGCCCCTCACAGAACAGTTCCTTCTTGACCTTCCAGCAACGAGCTCCCCCAAATTCTTTCCCCTGCACACCTACAGGTACACGACCCATTCTCGACCGACCACATCTTACCACTATCCGTCCAGTACCTACCTACCTCCACTACCTCTTGCACCAGAACTTCCATTCTACCCGACCACGACCCAGGTACCTTACACAACCACCACCAACAACCGCCTTCAATAGCCAGACCGGGTACACCTGTCTTACTACTCCAACTCACATCATCGTAAGTACCTTCTACCTTTGCTTTTCCCAGCCCATCCAGAAAAGAAGGAGTGGGAAAAAAACACTGAGGCGCACTTTCCCTCCCATCGCTCTCACACATTCACATTTACCTACCGACTTTTTCTCCTCCCATTTTCCACTCCCACTCTTCTTTTCCTTCACCTCACTTCTCCACGACCGACCTCACTTCTCTCTCCCGGCCCCCAACTCTTCACCTCTTCCACCTCTTCACCTCACCAACTCTTCCAAAAAAAAATTCCTCTCACAACCGCCTCTTCAACTCTCCCGTTCCCGCTCCCACTCTCAACCTCTCGTCCACACCCGAGCTCTCCTCTACATCTCTCCCATCTACTCCTCTACTCCTCTACCCCTCCATCTCCCAACTTTCCCGATCCACCACCCACTTCAATCCACCACCTCATCCTCCCCGCCGACGCAACTACTCATCCGCTGCCGCAAACGAGCTGCCCCAACGCACTTCAACCTACTAACACCTCCAGACCGAAGCCACTGCTCTACAGTTTCAATTCACTAACGTCCTGCTTTATTGCTTGACAGCTGAATTTCTACAAGTTTCACGCTTCTACGTCAGCAGCGCCACCACTTGCAGCCAGTACCTTCCTGCTTAATAGTACAGGAAAATACCATAGTGAGTTGCACCACACAAAACTACCACCCCGCGCCATCATCACCCCCACTTTGTATGTGCAAGAGCTCCCGGCCGCCGTCTACCAGGACGGGTCAGGGTCAGGGACGGGTGATCCTAAAGACGGGTATGCCCGTATATAAGATAAAATATTCCTACTACCATAGCTACTTGCTACCGCCCACGGTTGGGAGGTGATGTCGATTTTCCTCTTCACCTTTCACGCGCCTTTAGGTGGGGAAGTCGCTGCGCTTGCCCTGGATCGTCCTGGACGGGTCGAAACCACAACTTCTACAAATATTGGATTCTCACCCTCCCTTGCTTTTCACTTCTTCTTCCCACTACACCACTTTCTTTTTCACCCATTTTTGGGCATTTTGTTGGATGACTGTACTAATTGCGATATTTTATTTAGAATCCCCTTTCGAATCAATTGCCCCAAGCACATTTCGAACTGCTCAAAATGTCCTCCACCCAGGATAACATTGCTGCCAACGGCAACGACCTCGTCGGTTCGCTCGACCAGCTGAAGCTCGATGACGGCGAGACCCGTCTTGGCCCTGACGGCGAGCCCGCGCCCCGCACCGACGAGGAGTACGCCGGTTCTCAGCTCACCCTGAGAGCTATCGTGTCTTCCAAGGAGGCCGGTGTCATCATTGGAAAGGCTGGCAAGAATGTCGCCGAACTTCGCGACGAGACTGGCGTCAAGGCTGGTGTGAGCAAAGTCGTTCAGGGCGTTCACGACCGCGTTCTCACCATCACCGGTGGTTGCCAGGCCATTTCTGAGGCCTATGCGATTGTCGCGCGCGCTCTCCTCGAGGGCGCTCCCGCCATGGGCATGGGAGGTGTCGTCTCCAACACTGGCACTCATCGTAAGTTTGTCTCATGTGGCGCGCATAGAAGAATATCGCTAACGTTGCAATCTCAGCCATCAAGCTCCTGATTTCCCACAACCAGATGGGTACCATCATCGGCCGCCAAGGCCTCAAGATTAAGCACATCCAGGATGTGTCGGGCGTCCGCATGGTCGCGCAGAAGGAGATGCTGCCTCAGTCGACTGAGCGCATTGTCGAGGTCCAAGGCACTCCCGAGGGTATCAAGGGTGCAATTTGGGAGATTTGCAAGTGCCTCGTCGATGACTGGCAGAGAGGCACCGGTACCGTCCTCTATAACCCGGTCGTTCGCACCCAGCCTGGCACAACCTCCACCATTGGTGGCACTGGATCGACCAACTACTCTTCCGGTGGCGGTCGCGCCTCAGAGTACTCTTCTCCCCGCGTCATGCGCACTGGAAACGGTGCCGACTTCAGCACCACTACCAACAACGGCGGCAGTGGTGGCAGTGGCGGTCGTCCTTACGGCCGTCGTTCCGACTCCGATGCTGCTTCCCGAGGCCCTCCCACCCACGACGAGAATGGCGAGGAGCTTCAGACCCAGAACATCAGCATTCCTGCTGACATGGTCGGTTGCATCATTGGCCGTGCTGGAAGCAAGATCTCCGAGATCCGCAAGACCTCGGGTGCCCGCATTTCTATCGCAAAGGTATATTACCTCTTTACTACACAATTCCATGCTCAAGATTACTGACCTGTTAGGCTCCCCACGATGAGAGTGGCGAACGCATGTTCACCATCATGGGTACCTCCAAGGCTAACGAGTCCGCGCTTTTCCTGCTCTACGAGAACCTTGAGGCTGAGAAGATGCGCCGCCAGACGGCCAACTCCCCCGAGTAGAAAAGCGTTTTCGGAATCGTCCCTTTTCAGTTCGTCATCCGGCCTCAGGAGCTGGTACTTGCAGACAATGGCCGCAAGGCTCAATATCCGAGATGAGAAGTGTCATACTTCAGCACATCATCTCTGGGACGCGACAAAACACTTTTTTCAATTGCTTTTTTCCGAGTTTCGAATATCTGGGCCAAGGATCCCCAGACATGCGCACAAGAATGGTCGCCGGGGTGGGACCACAACAACTTTCACTTTCCGTTTTCTTGAACGCTTTGAGTTGCTTTTTGGGAGGATGGTCCTCCGGTCTACGTTTGGGCAGGCATCAGAGGTCCCTAAGTCTACGGACCGGGATTGTATTCAGCCTTTCCAAACCGAACATACGGCACGACTTATGATTACCTCATGCGGATACCTCTTTGAAGCAGAGTTGCTTGCTTCAAAAACATTAGTAATGAAAATCGGCCAGCAACTCTATCCCCGACCCTGTTTACCCAACCCCAACCCGCCACGATTTCTCACTGGACCGAAGATATCCTCAGCGGCCTGTGTTTTCCAGCCGGTTTTTGGGCTATGGAACTCTTTACGCTCTTGGTATGGACATCCATTGCCACGAGGATTCTAGATAGTACATCCGACTCATAGCTAGGCAAATTAACACGTTTGAGCAAGGCCGCTCACAAAATTTCTGTCTCGTTGCTGTTGGTGCGTCTTGAAACCTTGCCGTGAAAGTCGTTGAATTCGTGTTCTACAGAAGGATATGACATCCATTTATCTGTGGTCCAATTATCGAATGCGGTAGAGGTGAAGTGAGCAACAGAAGCTGTCGCGCCCTTTTTTTCTATCAACTTAGGTGCCCACAGTGGTAGCTGGTTATTTTCTAAAGACACTTCACCCGAAGGATAGGCTTGAATTGATTGAATTGACCGTTGGAAGGTCTCGAATCTCCTCCAGGATGGATTTGCGATCACGATGTGATTGGCCAATGTCAAGCGGGTTTTTAGGGATAAGTGTTTGTAATGCCGATCCGGAGAGGAGACACCGGGCTGGGCTGATTCCTGATAAGGTTAGGGCGGCGGCAAACAAGCAGTGGAGGGGAGGGACCCTGAAGAGGCTTGGGCGGAAGGGGTGCAGCGTGGTGTGCGTGGATGGTGTGGTTCTGGGGGGGAGAACTCGGGGGAAGATGCAACGGGTAAGCTCTCCACCTTATTTTTATTTTGGGATGAAGCCAACCTGTCATTTGCCCAGCTGCTCTTTGACGTCTGCTGTCTGCATTCGCTTGTCTCCGTGTCCACATCTCGAGTTGTCTATCTTTCCTGCTTCTCAAACTTGAGGTTTCGTAGTACTTTCGTTCTATTCAGCAGACTCCTTTTCCTTTCGAGCTTGCATTGTTGGAAGCTTAACGTTCAGTCGTTGTCGCTCCCTTGCAGTAATTTCGTTTCCCTGGCTCCCTTTCCGCCCCTTCAGCTGCGCGCGCGCCCACGGTACACGCTCAACGGCATCGAGTCGCGCTACCATACTCGAGCTTTCTTCTTTTCCAGTCTTTCGACGCCAATTTGCGCAACACGACATACCATTCGAGCGAGTCGAGTCCCGGCCAAAGAAAACAAAACAGCGACGCAATGGCGCGCTCGAAGCAGGCCACCCCTATTCGTCGGCAGACATCCTCCGAGTATTTTAGCAAAGCCGACGCCCTCAAGCGGACGCCCAGCAATGGCAATGGCGCCATGGCTTCTGTGACTGCGAAGGAGGCCAATGGCAAGGTTGTTGCTACACCTGCGGCTGCGGTTGTTGAAGCAAAGGAGGCCGGCGCACTCCAAATTCTGATTGCCGTGGGCGGTATCTATGCCTCTTTGTACGTCCTGGGGGCCTTTCTTGACTTTCCCCTGCCCTATGCCTCCTCAAATAACTCTCGCTCCGCGCATTACTGACAATGGATCTTGCGCAGTCTGACTTGGGCCTACCTCCAAGAGAAGCTCACGACGACGCCCTACGGCCTGACGTCCAAGCCCGAGGTCTTCAAGTACCCCGTCTTCCTCAACACGATCCAGTCCCTCTTCGCCGCGACGACGGGGCTCCTCTACCTCTGGTTCTCCTCCCGCAACGCCGCCTCCCTTCCGCCCGTCTTCCCCTCGCGCGGCATCGTCATGCCCCTCGCCCTCGTCGCCGTCACCTCCTCCCTCGCCTCGCCCTTTGGCTACGCCTCCCTGGCGCACATTGACTACATCACCTTTTTGCTCGCCAAATCCTGCAAGCTTGTGCCCGTCATGCTCCTCCATACGACGCTGTTCGGCAAGCGCTATCCGCTGTACAAGTACCTCGTCGTCGCGGGCGTCACAGCGGGCGTCGCCGTCTTCACGCTGCACTCGGGCAGCAAGAAGAAGAAGTCCGTCGTCAACCCGGACGCCAACATGCCCTGGGGCATGCTCCTCCTGAGCATCAACCTGCTCTTTGACGGCCTCACCAACAGCACCCAAGATTACATCTTTAGCACGTTCAAGGGGTACACCGGCCCGCAGATGATGTGCGCCAACAACCTCATGAGCACGGCCGTCACGCTGGGCTACCTCGTGCTTAGCCCGTGGCTGGTTCATACCGGACTCGGCGAGTACCTCGGCATGGACGTCGCCGGCAGTGCGGGCGAGCTGACGGCCGCGTTGGGTTTTATGGCGCGGTACCCCGCCGTGTGGTGGGATGTCCTCGGCTTCGCGGCGTGCGGCGCCGTCGGCCAGGTCTTTATCTGTATGTTCTTCTCTCTTCCTCGTGATACTTCAAACAACTACTAACACTGCGGTTCTTCCTAGTCTACACCCTCTCCACTTTCTCCTCGGTCCTTCTCGTCACCGTCACAGTCACCCGCAAAATGGTCACCATGGCCCTCTCCGTCTTCGCCTTTGGCCACAGTCTCACGAGCATGCAGTGGGCCGGCGTCTCTCTCGTCTTTGGCGCCATTGGCGCCGAGGCACAGATCGCGACCAAGGAGAAGAGGGCCAAGGAGGCTGCGAAGCGCGCGGCGGCTGCTGGGAAGACGCAGTGAGAGAAGGAGAAAGTGGGATATTCCATTTAACCCCTTTCCTTCTAGATAAAGGAAGATGGAAGGTCGGAGTGCATGACTTTGTATGGGACTTCCTTGTTTCAAGGTTTCTTGACTACAAAACATCAGGCCTCGTTGTTTCTTCTTCCCTTTTATCAAACCTTTTGATTATTCATCCTCGTTCTTCTGACTCTCTTCTTGGTCAAACGACCTCTTCTTCTCGAGATATCCCAATCACCTTTTTGATCATGTGGCATCGGACGCAAGACCACTCATTCACTTTTCTGGGGGGGGGCCAATAGAGGATCAACTACACCACCACCCCTTCCTCTACAACCTGTAAATACACACGCCGTACAAAAGACGAGAGAAAAAAATGAGTAAAGCCTCAAAGTTAAATGGGGCTGGCGTTAGGTTGGCGTTTCTCTTAGTTCTAGATTAAGATAAGAGATACAGACATACACAAGAGTATACATGAAGAAAAGTCTGAGACTACGTTTTGCTGTTGCGCTCAACTGTCTGCTTTCGGTCCATCAGTCCAGTCTCTCACGTCCCATTCACGAGTTTTCTAAGGCGATGATGCTCCTTACTTCTCTGGACCCCCCTCCGTTTGTCTGTGTTTGATAGAGTACGAATACATGGGAAATGCCCGCTACTCCCGAACATAAACGTGTCTGCGGCATGAAACAATTGGGCCGAGCCACCTCGACTCGCACATCCACGTACCGAACTGCGGCTTCCCAAGGACAGTCACTTACTTTTCCAACGCCAAGTTCGACTCCGGACCTAGCACCGCGGCTGGCGCCCACCAAGACACACACACACACACACGCACGCACGCACGCACGCACGATGTCGAGTTCTTGAGTAAGGACCGGGGTAGGGAGGTAGGGAGATAGGGAGAGGAAGAGGGAGACAGCCATTCTATTCGCTGATCACTCCTCCATTTCCCTCCTCCCTCTGTGAGGAGATGGTGTTACTCCTTCAATCCATTTAGCTAATAGACTCCGTTCTCTATAAAGGTCCCCAAGATAAGGGATGCTTCACTCAAATTGCCACCGGAATTATTGGAGAGAAGTGTATAACCGACACTGGACGGGCTGCTTGTTACACGTGTTGAACACTAGACAAGTCCAACACAGCTCCAAAAGCATCGACGAGAAAGGAAATCCAACGTACTGTATGGGCCAGTCTTAGTCTCGCGTTTAGCTGGCATTTCTCACAAGACCAACTACTATTTGCCAAAGGTACACAAAAATGGGACGACGAGGTGATGTTGTTACCCATACGCTTCATTGTACTGGCGTAAATCACTCCTACGTAGGATCACATTCACATGGGAACAATCAGAAGCACTTGATAATGCATACTTAGTATGGCTCTTCGTTTTTTACATTTCATCTACCTCGCTCCCCCTCCACCCCATCCATGCATGCAGTTATGGTATCCTCGTCTCATCCTCTCCTGCGTTCCTTTGGACTCCATGTGCGTTGTGGTAGACTCATCCGTAGATGGACCACATTGAAAGAAAAAGAAAAAGAAACCCAAGCGTCGAACACAAGAAAATAGCATGGTGCCTTTGTGAGTATTTCTCACGACCGTTCCCTCTTTCCAAGTGAGTCGGCCCCCGCTAGGAAAGTGCCTCATGAAATAAGAGCCTGTACCAAAATCCCTTCCAACTCCCTCGTCCAAAGTGGGCACGCCAATAAACGATTGCAAGAAAGATGGCCGATCCCCGGTGTTCCTTGACTGTCCATGTCCAAGAGATGAGAAACGTGTCTCCTATCTTTTCCGTTTCGATATATGCGTTGTGAGAACGCAATTCTAAATTACACATTTTGGTTTATGGTTGTAGGGTACTTTTTCCGCAAAGTGGTTACGTGACGAAAACCATCGTGGTTTCGCCACTCGCTGCGCTCTGAAAAAAAGGCTCGAAAATGACAAAGGAGATGCCAACTCAAGGTGGGTGGGTGCACCATTGACCTTGGCTGGTGTTCGGCGTGAAGAGGGTTATGTCCCTCTGCGCATTCGTTGACGGTTCTGACCCTTGTTTCGGTCTCTTGCCATAGTCGATGCAACTCCTGCAAATGCTTTGAACCGGTCGGTTCCAATTGGCGAGATCATCTGCCTGGCGTGCACTTGTCTCGGAATTCGTCCAAGGCTTCCAAGGTCCGTCAACCTCGTATTGATTGTAACGAGAGTCGATGCATTGTGCAATGCACGCGTATTTGACTAGTTCCATGTCGCAAAAAATAGCAACAATAGTCAGAGTTCGGCCGAGTACCGCCGAGGTAGTTCGGTCCCGGGGCGTTTGGTGCTAGTGACTAGTGGCGGTGTGTTCCGTCCTGGCTGCGGTCATAGCAGCTCGTCAATAGACCTCACAATTGGCGTTTCACCTTTTGTAGGCGGACTGCGCGGGTCGGCAACCTGGGTGGGGCGTCCGAAGGGGTAGAAAGGATCCCTGGGGAACATTGTTTCTCGAGGCGAGAACAGACCTTCGCTTGGAGTTGGCGGAACCTCAACAAACTGCATGCCTGGAAATGCGTGGTTGGAGTCGTGTAGCGGGTTCTTCGTCATCGTCTCGGCTCGTGGTGACAGGAGAGCTGCATCGTCGGGCACTGCGCCAACCACAAAGTGTCTATCCTTGGGAGCCGCAACCTCCTCTTCGCGTTCTAATGATGGGCCAAGATTCAGACTAGAAAATCCAAAGCCGGCGGCAGGGCCAAATCGGTGTGCTCCGAATCCGGGAGAAGGGGGCGGGCCAGGCGACGGTGGCGGCTTGGCAAAGAACGATGATGACGAAGGTGCAAGGCCCGAAACTGGCGGCGTAGGCTTGAAAGGCATCAAGCGATCAACATCAAAGTTTCCAAACTTGGCCGAATCGTCGTTCTCTTTTTCTGACCAGGAGAAGCTTGATGGGGCTGACGACGGCCCAGGTGAAATTGGCTGACTGCCGGGCGTTGAGTGGCCTCTGGCCCGGGTAGGGCTACCTTTCTTCGGGCTCGAACTATCAGAGCTGCCTTCCTTTTCTCCAGGCAAAGGAGCCGTCAAAGGCTCTTTGGGTGCAACGTCAATGGCCGCATCGGCAGAGAGTGTCAGGCGGTGCTTCGTGGGGCTTCGTCCAGTTCGCGGGCGGAAGGCGGATCCAGGCGAGGTCTTCTTCTTTGACATCTGCTTCTGGAAGTCCTGCAGGCAGTACATGAGCTTCATGTTGGGGCTGATCCACTTGCTCTTGCCCTGGGCGGCGTAGTAGGCGTCGTTGACGCTGAGCTCGGGGTTGCGGTATAAGCCGTAAGCAATAATGAGACTGGCGGATCGACTTGCGCCTTGCTGGCAATGAACGAGAACCTTCTTGCCCTCCTTCGTCCGTGTCTCAATTGTCTCGCAGAGATGCATCAGATCCTGCGCAATATCTGTGTTGTGATCCCAGGGCATGTGGATGTACTCTGGGCGCTTGATAGAGAATGACATGGCCTTCGGCGTTGTTGGTGTTTCCGGTCTGTCGTTGGTCGGGAACTCAAAGGCGGTAGAAAAGCTAGCATTTGACACCGCGGTGTCGGGAATGGGGCTGAGGACAGCTGGAGAATCTGACATGACCTCGTCTGACTTGGGCAAGAAATTGAAAGGGTTCTTGACTTCCCGCGCAACATTGATGACAGTGTCAAATCTGGAGGCTTCGTCGGCTGTCGGCTCCAAGTACAGGTAAACATTGTCTTCGTAGATTGCAATGGGGCCATCCGGATAACCCGGCGTCTTCTGGTCCTCATTGTTCTCGTTCTCGTGATACGGTTCGAAGTCGAGGGCGGCGCGGCTCGCGAGCTGAGTTCTGATGGGCGAATCCTCCTCGACAATTGTCGTGTCGAACGACTGGCCCATACCAGTCTTTGTCGGCCTCAAAAATTCTGAAAGACCCGACTCGTTCCGTTCCAGAACCTTGGGGAAGGTCATTCCACCCGGGGGGCCAAAAGTCGCAGACTTCAGCGAGGGCAGTATGTGAGGCGACGAAGTTGAGTGCTTGAGGGCTCGTCTCTGCAAAATAGGCGCCATGCCAGGGGTGCCGGGGACCTCGAGGGTGTTTCGCATAACCAAGTCTGACGTCTGGGTCTTGAGGCTGAGCTGACTAGGCTTGCGCTTCATTCCTGGAATGGTCGGCTTGATGAAAGAGGGCGACGCGGGCTCGGAAACCAGTGTTGAAGCACTGTTTCCCATGAAAGGCGGCTGAATTGACAGTCCCTTCATGTTCTTGGGGCGACGCGGCGAAGGAGACGTCATCGGACGACCGAAGCTAGTGGTTTCTGCCGCCGACATGGTGTTCATTGAAGTCAATGGACCAAGGCCGCCAAAAGATGTGGCGGGGAAAGAGCTGAGGGGTATCAAGTTGACGGGAGAATCGGGGGATGATGAAGGGGACGGATCCGACAGCGGGGAGCAGTCACTTGTTGAGAGGGTCGTTGTAGGCGAAGATTCGGCAGACTCGGACGCCTGAGTAGAGGTGCTGTCGTGGTGCTTGTGGGAGTGATCCATGGTCGGTCGCAAGGACTGAACCGGGTTGGCCAAGGGCTTTCCAGTAGCCTCCATGTCAATCAATTTGGGGTCGACGAGCGTGACGGTCTCTTGGGCGGCGATTGTCTCTGCGTCGAGATCGAAGACTGACATGAAAGAGGGAATCTGATCTTCGTAGATCCTTCTTGCCGCTGCTGACGGCATGGTTCTGTGTACCTTTTGAATGGGCTGCCCAAATCCCTTTTCTCTTTCTCTTCTCTTGCGCGAGGGAAACGTGCTGGCGGCAGTCTCGGGGGACGAGACTGTGTAGGCCGCGAGGGGCAACGTTGGCGTAATGATTAAAGAAATGATTGCGGCGTTTGGCGTGGAAGGAGCGGGAGTCGCGATTGAAGTTTGTAGAATGGGAAGAAAAAGCCGATAGGCAGGCGGGCGATTGGTTGTAGATCGGAGGACAGCGCTGCTGAATCCCGTGGATGCTTTTGTGTCCTTCGTCGTCGGCGGGGTGGTTGTGGCGGTCCAAGTCTCTCGGCAGGACCGAAGTCTCTCTCTCTGTTCTCTTACTCCTCCTCGTACTCGGGGCGGTGCCGCAGGGTGCGCAGAGCAGGTGACCAGTCTCGCGACAGGAATAGGTCAGTCGAGTGTTCGTATGCGGCGGGGGCCCTGGTGGGTAGTGGACAAGAGTAGTAGAATGGTCGTCGTGGTTCGTGAGGTAGGAGGAGGGTGGGAGGACGACGAAGGGGAAGAAGAGTAGTAAGTTTGGTTGGTGATGGAAGAGAAATGGAGAAGAGAGAAAACAATGGCTAGTGGTCACGACGAAAACGGCGGCACGGGGTTAGCACATGCTGTTGGTGGGAAGAGAGATGTGGCACGGTCCGGTCAACACGGATGCATGGAATCGCCAGGCGGGTATGCGTGAGGTAAGTGTAAGGTAAGGTGGTTGAAGGAAGAAGAATACTGCAGCTGGTTTTTGGATTGCTTGCTGCCAGAGAAAATTGGTAGAATTGAGAATAGGGGAGGTAGTGAATAAGAGAAGAGGGGGTGTGTGTGCGTGTGTGTGTGTGTGTGTGTGTGTGTGTGGTGGTTTGGGATTGGGGTGGGAAGAAGGGAAAATGGTGGAAGAGAGATGGTGAAGTGGTTGAAAGTTGAGGTGAATGGCGGACGTAGGAAGGGTTCGAGAGAGTTGGGGATGGGCCAACAACTGGAAGGGGAAGGAAAGAGAGGACTGGGGCCCTTGGGGCTCTTGGGTCTTTGGTCTTGGGGGGGAGGGGTGTGGGCCGTAGCAGAGACCCAAGACCCAAGACCCAAGAGGTGAAGGCCTGCACGCAAGCGACAAGCGACTTGGAGTGAGTGAAAGGCAGGCCGTCCGTCGCCCAGTCAGTTGCCCTCGTCGAACATGGACGGGCTGGGTTTGGCCTGGAGATGCTGGTCAAAGTCAAGCAAGGCCAACGGGTGGTGGGAGGGTCTCCCAGGATCAAGTCGCTGGCTGAGGGCGAGAGGACGACCAGGGCAGGGGTTCTTACGTCCCTGGGATGCTAGTGGCCAAGGCAAGGTACCTTACCGTAGGAGGGAAGCACGCGGCAAGAGGTACCTACCAAAGGCACATATATCCTATTGGGAACCTTGTCTTCCATGTTCTTGCCCTTCCCTTCCCACTTCCTTTGCGGCCGGTACACCACCTAGGTACCTATTTACTAGGTAGGTCAGATACGTACCAACCTTAGGTACCATGCATCATCCCCCTCTCTCTGTCGCCTTCTGTCTGAGGTTCACCTGGCGAAAGTGCGTCTGGGTGGTAAGGATTACCGAGGTACGTACTTTTCTACTTGGTGTGCCTTTTTCTCAGGTTAAGGTAAAAAGGTACGGACTACATTAAGTAGCATGCTACGAATAGAACACACCCAGCATCTCTCAAAAGTGACCACCCTACCTATTACGTTCTCACCAATGTATCTGGCATAGTAGTCGACACAGGACGTAGACGGCGAGAGGAGGAGATATACCAGCAACTGGCAAAGCCTGGCCCCGTAAGGAGTAGTGCTGAGGTAGTGGAGAGAGAGCAAGGAAGAGGACAAGACTGGAGAGGGTGCGCGATGCAAGTGACAGAATTCCCTGTCTGGTCACCAACCAGCACCTTTTGTCACAGAATGCTGTCCAGAACCCGTCGCGCGTACGGGTACGGAGTGCGGATCCGTAGAAGACAGTTGAAGAGAGTCCAGGTAGCCTGGAGGGAGGGGCAAGCAAAGACGAGGCAAGGCGAGACCGGGCAAGGCAAGGCAACGTGAGGAGGAGGAGAAGGAGGAGGAGAAAGCAAGGCATGGGCACTGATAGGCACAAACTGGATCTCCATCTCGACACTTTGGCTGGCTGGCGGGGGGCGTCAGATCGGGAATTGTTAGTGCGGCCTCGTCTACGGCCTCTTCGCCTGCGCAGGGCTACCCCCCTTAGCTCCAGTATGTGAGGGCGTAGCCGGAGGTAACTACACGAGAGCCGTGGACTAGCCCGCCGCCATTGACGAGGACTTGGACTGGTGCCCGTCCTTGGGTTGATTTGCTGTTGTTTTAGAGCCGTGGGCCACCGACGCCGCTGGTCCAAGTCTATTGTCCAGAGTAGTCTGTATCGAAATGCCCGCTCTGCCATCGTCAACTCGACTCCGTTACCGTACTCCGTACCATAGGTGGCAGATGCTTCTAGGCATGTGCCGCTGTTGTGGATACGGTACTTTGTACGCAGCAACGGACAGACACAACGTGGTGACTACTCTGACCTGACACCTGCAATGTGCAGAGAACAAGCAGCACAGAAGCAACCGAACATCATCAGCACGCCGGCATGGTTGGAGTTCTGGACTGACTGGATGCTGATGGGCAAACGAGGGTGGAGGGGCAAAGGGGATAATCCGGTGTTCCGCTGCCGCTGGCTGCTGCGCTGCAAGAAGCAGACGAACGGCAATAACTGGTCCAATCCACCATCTAGGTAGGCCTGGGCCCCTCCTCTTCTCTCCATCTCAGAGTCAGATCTCTGTCAGCTTTCGTCTTGTGATTCACCAATTCATCCTACCTACTTCGTACTTCTCATCCAAGTTTCTGTGGTCCGTCCCCCCCGCGCGATTGAGAAGGCGGCAGGAGAGAGCGTGTGTGTGGTCTGCACCTGCTGAGTGTGTGTGAGAGAGAACGAGAGGATTGGCGAGGGACCGCCCAGCGCAAGTGGAGCCGCCCAACCACACCACGACTTTTCCACTTCCCAGGACGGAATAAGTGGGGTCCATGGCTTGGGGCTTGGTGCGAGTGATCCCCTGGGACCCTGCCCTGGGTCACCCCCAAGAAGTGGGGCATTGGGGCTTCGTCGTGACTGGAGCGTATTTTGCGAAACATGACCGGGGTCTATTAATAGCCCACCCTTCTCAGGGCAAGAGAGAGAAAGAGAGAAAAAAAAAAGGTCCGCAGTCCCAGTGGTCCGTCGCGTGCATGCGCCTTGCAGTCGCCCGTCGTCGTCGTCGTCGTCTAGAGGTCGGCGCCAAATTTGGACCAATGGCACACCAGGGAGTTTTAATTCGGTCACTCCTGCCGTACAGGCGAGGAACGTACCTGATTTGCTGGATTCAGTTCATTTCAATCCTTTTTTGCCTCCTTATCCCGTCTTTGCTAGTTCATGGGCTCATGGATCTATCTGTTCAATGTGTTGTAGTTATCTAGCTGTGTATCTGTTTCTCTGCTGCCATTGCTTGCCCCACGATGAGTTGTAGCCGCACAGGTATAGTTGTCGATCAGAGACTATTCAACACTAAAGATGCTGGCCTGCTGCACATATAAAGTGCTCCGTCATTTCTCGCCACCTGCTTGGGGGGATCTTGTCCCTGATCAAGCTGGTGCCGGTGTTGGTGCCGCACCTCAATCTCAAGACAGGAAGAGATCTGCCAGGGGAACATCTACACTACACTGCACAATATCCTTTCGTCGCAGGTTCATGTAGGAATAGCAATGCGCCATCGCAGTGGCGGCGGGATTCGGTCTTCGATTGATGGTTGCTTATTTCCGGCACTCTCTCTCTCTCTCTCTCTCTCTCTCTCTCTCTCTCTCTCTCTCTCTCTCTCTCTCTCTCTCTCAGTTCCTGTGCTCCAGCAAAATGCCTACCTCTGTGTCCTCCCTCCTTCTCATGCGTTGGTTTGTTCCACTTCACTACGAAATGAACGCCATGTGTTTGAAGTTGCTGACCTGAGAACTCCGAACCAACCTATCAAGCTGGGTTCTCGATGATATGCAAGTGACATGTTTACACATCACACGCACACACATACACACAAAAGGCCACAGCGATCATACACACTATTACCAACACCCAGACGCGGCTCTCAAACCATGTGTGCCAAGTACCCGTATCCGTAACACGGCGCTACGAGAATCGTTAATACCGTAAATCCATTATCCAAAAGACTAGAAGGAAAATGGCAGGCATGTCAAAAAAGACATGGCTCGACGCCGCCGGCGGGGCGCAAGTTACGGTGCGCAAACGCCCAATCACCACCAATGTTTCCGGTTAGCACCCCTGTCATGTCCCTATCCAAGTTTCCGTCTTGCTCTCAGGCGCTTTGCCTTGCTGAGGCTGTATCCTAATATCGAAAAGTCTGAACTCTGTAACCGAAGAGCCGCCGTCGTCCTGTCCTTCCTCGGCGGCTTCGCCTTTGGGCTGTCAGATCTCGCCCTGGCACCCCCCCCCCCCCCCCCCACCAGTTGTTCCCAGTATTGCCTGATGTTACTTTTGGCGCAGTGGCTGGCTCAACTCTGGAGGCGAGAGCCTCCTGGCGTCCTGTGCTTTATTTGCTCCCCCTCCACCCTTGCAACAAAATACCGAGGTTCTGGTGCTGATTATGGTGCCAGGTACTTTGCTTCTGGATTCCTTGCTCAGGTTGCTCTACTCCGTACGAAGTATTCCTGTATTCTGTACAGTCAGCATTTCCAGCCCACATAACACATTCCTCACGAAACCCAAAATACCCTCCACTCAAATATGCCTAGGCAAATTCCGACTCTCGGCCGGGATCGTGGATTTCCGTGGGTTCATCGAGAGTCAGTTTGGCAAATGTTGATTGCAGATCATTCCATCATTCCAAGCCCACTATACTACGAAGAACATCATCATCATCCGGACCGTGCTTTCTCATTTGACATTTGACATGTAGCCAATCTGGTGAATCAGACAGTATCCTTACCGACAACTGGGTCTTCAATCATTAAACCCAAGGTTCCAAACCCACCACTCACCATTCACAGTCAACGAGGGGGACTCAAGTTGCCCTACGCAGGTCGTGGCAGTCTAGAACATTATGTTTCTGAACCATATACCAGAAGACAACCACCCCTTCCTTCCCACCGCGGGCGACGGGCTTGCGCGACATGCCACTGCCACAGGCATGCGTTTGCCCGTTCGTGCCCTTTTCTAGATGCGGTCGTCACCAGCCAACCACCGGTTTCAGTTTGAACCACCATCTAAAAGCAGCCGCTGCCGCCCTTTGTATGCGGCGTGTCCCCTCCGCGGCTCCGGCCTTAGCCGCCAAAACATGCTCAAGGACACGGCTCTTCTCTCGCCATCTTTGCCCTTCTGAACACTGGACAGCGAACACAGCCTTCTTTGTGGCTCCTCTTCCTCCTCCTCCTCCTCCCTCCTCTAGCCGGCGGCAACGAAACGCTGCGGCCGTCCCGTAGTTTCTCCCTCGTCGAGTCCATTCTCTCTATCGCACTTGTCAGTTCAAGTTCAAGTTTTCCTATCGGTCTCGCCGCCGGACCCCCAATTGCGGCGTTCAATTGCGCGCGGGCAGGCAAGGTAGGATGGAGACTTTTTAAATTTCAATCTGTCGGAAACAGGTACAGAGGGCTCAGTATCCGTAGAAAGTGATGGGCCCCTACCTAACTTGGTAAGAGCCAATATGGAGCTGCACCCGATCTAGATTTACAACTTCTCCATTCTCTTTTCCCCCAAAAACAAGGGGACCTTTGGACGAAAAGAATGGAGGCAAGGAGACTTTTGAGGCTCAAGTTTGAACTATACTACGGATTATCCGTACTACGCAACCGTACAAAGAGCCGCCCACTCTGTAGGCGCAGGCTTTCATCTGTCGGCGGCTGACCGAGCAGATGGGAGGGAGACGCGTCGTAACCAGTCCCGTGGGAAAATTCGACGTTCGTCTCCATTCTGTGACCCTCGTCGTGCCAGGGATCAGGCCGTCAGTCACCCAGTTCACACTTCTCACTGGATGACGGGCTCGCTGCATCTTTCTCGAACAGAGGGACTCATCATCATAAGGAAGAGATCCTCTCTTTTCCGGTGGGTTGATTCTTGAAAAAGTGCCAATCTCCCAGCTGGCACCCAAGGTTTAATCGCTTGACAGGTTGAAAGCGGCTAGGAGATTCGAACCCTTCCCCCCCCCCTCGACCTCGTGGCAATACCAGGAACCAGAGACAAGATTGACAAGCCACACCTAAAGGCAACATTCCAGAGTGTCCAGGGCAGCAGGCCGGCCAGAGAGAAAGAGAAACCGAAGGGGGGGAGGGATGGACAAGAGACAGACGGGGAGGGGTAGTCGAATTGTCTTGTCAGGGAACCTTTTTCCTTTGAACTGCTCGTTTTCATTTGAGTGCGGGCGAAAATCCCGTTCTTGACAACCAGAGACATCCCTCCTCGAGTCTTGCCAGCCAAATCCCTGCGCGTCCTCGTGTGGGAGATGCCGAGGCAGGGCAGAGCCGTCGTGGCTCCTCCATGGATGATACCTTCACCTGACGGAGGGACGGCCATAACAATCCATATTATCTCTTTTTCTTTTTTCTCTTTTGCCAGAATTAGGAACACTATAGCCGACGGCTCGTATATGTGCGGTACTCTATTTACCCACGCTCACCGTTCGTCAATCTCTCTCGAGATAGATGGAATATCCACCGTCCCCTTCGTCCCATGTATTGACTCACTATCCCCCCATGCCCCCTCATCCCATACTATAACGGCGGTGATGGTGGGGAGAAGGTGGGGGGGGATACCGGCGTCATCATTTGCATCATCGCGACAAGCAGTTGAAGACGACGACGTTGACGTTGGAGTCTGCTCTAGAGTCTAGACGCGTTGGTCACATGGGGAATGGAGAAGTAGAGAACGCTCGGGTGCTGATACAACATCTTGGTCCTGAACGACAAGCAGAGCCTCCTGTTTTCCCCCTTGTTAGATCATCGCATGAATTCCAGATGGTACCCGTCTTTTTTTTTTGTTTCTCGACACGGGTTGGGACGCTCGCACGCAGCAGGGCCGTGTTTGCGGCGACGTTCGGCAAGCGGCAACGTAACACAGCGAGCGCCCAGGTTAGCTCATCCCTAAACATTCTCAGACTTGAACCAGCTCATCGCAATTTCGCGATCGTAGATCAGGAAAATAAAACTCGGTAAAAAAAATAGAAAAAAAGTCTAGCGGGAAACGACCTGCGACAAAGTGAGATCACGAGACCAGGTATGGACACAGCAGCGTAGTAGTGTACGATCTTGCTCCCTCCCAAACCCTTTTGGCCTTGGTCTAAGTATGAGAGCCTTTTCCCCTACGACTCTGTTTTTGTTTTTTTGTGGCTTGCTCATCCCGCTGAAGGAACACTGCAGCAGATGGTTCAAAATGGCGTTCGCTTCGTTCGTACTGTATTGCTGTGCTTCGTCTGCGTGTAAGTGTACAGTGTTGCCATGCCGCATGCGAGAGAGTCTACATAGTCTATAGAGAGAGAGAGAGAGAGAGAGAGAAACGAGCCCGTCGCCCCCCACATCCTGCAGCTTCCAATTTGGCGCTGCACGGGAGATTGGGAGCGTCGGGCCCTTGGTGTGAAATTTGAAGCTATTTTCCTCGACGTCTTGGCAGGATCTGAAACGAACAGGGATCGTACGCTCCCTGAGTCGTCAGGGGTGTAAGCCCTGTTTGATCCACTCCCGCGAGTCCGAAAAAAGAAGTGGCAGCGGTAAGCTGCACAAGAACGTTGATTGGTCAGATCATTAGCGGCTGCGTTACCGGGAAGGAGAGTCATTTGCCAGCTGGCAACGACTTTCAACTACCAATTTCCAGCTCTCCCCATCACCAACAGCCTGGGAAAACACCAAGAACCATCCACGGGCGAACACCTCGGCTTCAGAAGAAAGCCCCAGACGTGCAAGAACGGAGCGACCAGGAGGGCGGGGCTTCTGATCACCGCAAACCTAGCCAGGCCCCTTCCTCGGAGCGAAGAAGAACAAGAAGATCCAACGATCGCCAGTTTCCTGTATTGTACAGAGTACGGAGTAGCGAAATAGTGGCAAAAGAAGGAGCGGCAACTGCGCGAAAGGGGATGCACGCGAAGGGCAACCATGGATGGGATATCGAAAAGTCGGTCTGTTCATCCCGCCAACACGCCCATGCCCTTTTTTTTCCACCAGGGAAGATCCCTTTCTCCCATCTCTTCCCATTACCCAGGCATTGCTCCATCATCTTCTTCACAACTCACTCACTCGTCGACTCGACACAACAGTATGCGCCGTGCCCGCGTTTATTTTGGGCGTCTATCTTCCGCAAATTACGACTCTGCAGGTGACCCTTTTCAGCATGCCACCGCTCCTCATTACTTGCGGATACTATCAACCCTCTGCACGCCACAACCAACCGAGTTCAATCCTGCATTCTTGCTTCTTTCTTCTGCTCTCAAGTTTCAAAACGAGCCACTGGCGCCCCCTCCCCGGCAGATCTTCCACCTGAAGAGGAAAATGGGGCCCCCAAGAACCCTCAAATGTCGTTAACCCAGACCCCTTCCCCTGGTCACAGTCTGTGTGACCTTTCTGCCCAGCAAATCCGGGGCTGTTTTTAGCTGCCCGGGCTCATCTGCAAAAGGACGGCTGGCCGTTGATACATGCCCCAAGTCAGTGCCAGTTTAAGCCTCGTTCGGAATTCCCGTTTAATGATGAGCCTCATCAGCTTAGGGCTCACCGGCTCAGAATGAGAATGAGCAGAAAACCAAGGACATTTTTTCCAGCGCACATCCAAATCTTATCGAGAGGCAATTTCGCGAGAAATCTTCTTTGAACCTACTGGCCGTTGCTACCTAATTATGTCACTACTATCCGTAGTGTACGAAGAAACAACAAGGCGTAAAAAGCTCGACAAGCTTCTCGTCTCCCCCACCCGTGCGCGATGAAGACGATGGCACGATGCACATCATCCAGTTCGCATCGAACTATGCCATTCCCGCCCACTCCGTCCCGTCCGCCATTTCGGTCGGTGGGCTTAGCTCTCCCGGCTCCCGAAATAAACCGTCACCTCATTTCGTTCCGTACGGATACCGGGCGACGCGTATACTTCGTACAAAGCTTGTGCCAGCGCGTCCAGAGTACGTGCGTTCTCTTCAAAGCATAACGGTTAATATCAATAAGGCATTCAAAGTCAAGCCCCCCTACACGTCCGTCAACACGGTACGCTGTGCTGTCACGGGGGGGAAGGACCTTGGACCATCAGGCGAACCTCTCGCGTTCACGTCTCTATATCGAGGCCCATGGCAATATCTCCGCCCGATCTCGATTCTTCATTCGACGACCATGGATCTACCATCTCCACCGTCTTCGGGTGTCTTCCCTAATATCAATCACGCCGGAACTCTGCTTCACCTCTCCAAACAACGCGCACCCATGTCTGGATTCTGGGAGAGTCTGAACTTCTGAAGGCCCCCCAGTCCGTTTTAATTTGCCAAAGGGGCCCTGCTCAGCCGAGCCTCAAATTCGTTGCCGTTTTAGGACGGTGCCTGGCCCGAAGACTACGTTATTGCTCCTAATTCTGATGCCCCGTCGCCCCAGCAATGCAAGACGGACGTTCAGGCAATGGGCATTGACCAGCCAGCCCTGGAGCCGCCCTTCCAAGTTCTGGGTCAATGGCGAACGTGCCCATTTGTTGTCCTCTTTTGTCGTTGCAAGTTGCGCCTCGTCAGCGCTTCGTGCTCTCGTGCTGGGCGTAGTAAAGACGGAGACAACGCTGGGATCGTTCCCGCCCTCCGTCTCCGTCTCGTCTCATCAACCACGCAGCAACACACGCACGCCGCGTCTGCTCGCTCAGCCCTGAAAGGCACACGCAAACATGGCGCTTTACTTCATGCATTCACAGATCCTATGCACTTGCCTTGGTCGGGCCATCCCGGCTTGTCTGCCCTCTGTCTGCGGCTCCTTGCAACCCTGCAGCCAACTCTATCTATCCCACGTCTTCCCGATCACATCGCTGAACCACAGTAGTGTGCAGATACAAAGCACTCTCCATGAAGTTCCATTCTAGCCTTGGGCTCTTGCCGTCGAGGGTCGCGTTGGGCCTCGTCACCTTTACGGTTTCGAACAGATACCGCGTCAGAGGTTGACAGCAACGATTCCGATGGTTCCACCACGGGCCATATCATCAAACGACACTGAAGCCACCCCAACGGCAGTTCACTTGTCCTTCTCTCTTCCTCTCAAAGGTTCTCTACTCTCTTAGTCGAATCCTCCTCGTCTCAGCTTGTTGATGCACTGTCTGTCGTCTGCCATCCCAAAAAGTTGACGCTTTCTATCGCCAAACTTGAAGTTGCGGATCAAACACGCGGTTACTAGCATGACTGTGGTCCTCCCCCCTCCCAGCCCCCCCAGCCCCTTGAAGACGACCCCAAGGCACGGACACGAAACCGGCGACATGCTGTTTCAGCGGTCCATCTTCGTCCACTTCGTTCACGACCACGTCGCCCTAGTGACTGTGCACGTGAGTTTCGAGAACAACAACAACGCAAGCTCTCTCCATTCGTTGATGGCGCCTGTTGGGAAGTTCATCGAGAAAGACAATGCACAAGAGCCGATTGTACTCGAAAACAAATTTGATCCGGACTCGGCTTGATACCGAGAGGCGGACGGACCGGGCGGGCTGACAGTGAGGCAGTTGTTTCCAGACGCTCCCTCCGCTACGTGATCCTAGCCTTCGTCACTTGTTGAATCGTTTTGAGACGACTTTCTCCCGCCCGTCGCCGTCGCCGCGATGCCGCTGCTGCCCGAGAAATGCTGTTCAGCAAGGTACCTCTGACTTGCGTTGATGCGTCCACTCGAACCTTCCCACCACACCAAACCACTCCCCTGGTAACACACTGCTTAAACTCTAGAGTGAGTTTTTTTTTTTTTTTTGGCAGTGCCGTGCTTGTTGCTGTGTGTGCTCTGTGTTTGCGCCGTGTGCCGCAGTAATGTGTATCGTGCTCTTTTTAAGGTTGACATCTGTAACCCGATCACGACAATCATCTACAGGGAGTGATCCACGGCCGGACAACCCCTCTTCTTGCCCGGCGCCCACGCGAGGGAACGGGTAAGGCATACTCTTCTTCTTCTCTGTACATTCCTGACGGATTGCTACTGTACTTTATTGTCTTGGTGCTTTGCTTTGTTGCCTGACGTAGAAAACCTCGTGAGAAAACGGTGGGATAAGTCACATCTGAGCTGAGCTGAGCTCTCGCCTTAGCCCCTCCCTCCCTCTTCGATCCAATCTCCTCCCTTCCTTTCGCACAGCTCTAGAAAGTCTCTCCAGGAGCCTGCTCCGGTGCAGACGAGCTCAACATTCAAAGGGAGTTAGAAGGTAAGCTAGCTAGCTATCTTAGCTCGGGAAGAGAGGCAAAGAGGCGTCGTCCCCAAAAGGATTGGAGGTAACTAGGGGTCTTTCTTTCAAGATTATAAGTCGAAACCAAACATAGAGTTTGGGTCGTGGAAGTTGAATCGTGGCCTAGCATATCCCCGGAATCTCGTTCACGTCTACTAGTGTCAAGAATTCTTTTTTTCCGCCCGATGAAGAGGCGCAGGAAGTGAGGAAAGAGAGTAAAAGAGACGGCGTGACGGCGTGTGTGGAAGTTCCCGTGTCCGATTACCTAGGAGTCTCTGTTCTTCGCTCTCTGCCGTACGCACGCCCGCGCCAGGCCAAGCGTTAGACCTGTTCGGATCGGAGGAGGGAGGGGGGGGGGGGGGGGGGGGGGCTTTTCACTCGCGATCTACCTACCAGATGCGGAAAGTCTTGCTCCAGCGGGCGCCGCGGCCCAACTATGGATTGGGGTAATGACGGCGAAGAGTCATTGTAAAAATATACGATGATCAGTTCAATTTTTTGCTTCCCAGTTTCTGAAGCCATGTGACTCTATCAAGTCTCTGCAAGGCATCATGTCTTCTGGACTGGATAATCTAATGTCGTGTAAATAGCCTATCATGATATTAACCCCTCGAGGTGCCGTTTGGGAGTGAACAAGACCACTTTGGAAGCCTCTGGAGACAAACCAAGTCACATCATAAGTATGTATGCTTTTTTCAGGAAGCAATACACCATCAGAGAGCCGTAGTATGTTCAAAGGTTAATTGAGGTGAAGTGAAGTCTCAACAGATACTGTCCCCCGGATCCCCGACGCCGATCTCGTTGAGGCGGGGCCCGGAGGAGGGGGTTGACCACCGGGTGGTGCGCGCCGGTTGACTTCCCCGCTTTTTACGTTTGGATGTGACGGCCTGGCCCGTCGCCGGTCAGGTCATGACTGAGAGGGTTGAAGATCTTTGTGACTGTACGGAGCCTCGAAAGCTTGTGGCGGTAAAATAAAAAAAAATTCCTTATTCTGTTGCCTTTCCTTTTCCTGCTTTGATGAGACTGCGTGTTTTGTTACCGAGCGAGCAATGGATGGGGGACCATGGCGGATAGGATATGAATAGCTTGCATTCAGAGAGGCGAGGGCGGTAAACGGGATACAGAATGACATTGCAAGTGCACACCGGCGACGTTGTATGGCGGTTAGGCTTTGTCTCTTTTTCTGCTTTTACCGGTTGTCTTGGTCTCTTTGCGCGCGGGTGTTTGCAGCAAAGGTAGCCGGCCGGTGCGACCAGTTTCATCTTTTCTTAATGTAGATTATCCAGCAAGCTCTCAGTCTTATCCTATCTTTTATCTTCATCTTTAGACGCGCGCGTTGGACGGATTGCCTGTGTTGTTCAATATCAATCTCGAGTCGTAAGGATCCGAGGTCGTTGAAGGAGGGTTGATGAACGTGCGGCTGCTGCTGCCGCCGCTGCTGCTACGTCGTAGTGAGAGAAAGAATAAATGGAGGGCGGCTGTGAGATATAGCCCCCCAGACATACGCATAAGTACTACGGAATGGCTCACAAGGGATGATCATAGCAATAGGAACCGTAGGCTTTCTGAGAGATTTCGTACCTCCGTGGTAGCAAATTCTGGGCTTATTAATTGAGATCTGAAGCCTGTAGAGTGTCGACTGTTGTTTGATGCTCTGACCTCTCCAGGACTTCTGCTTTTGGATATCTTCTGGCTTTTCTTATTGCTGTCTTCCCTTCGTAGGTTATGCGTCTTGGGAATTTCATGTACTGTTACTAAAGGGCGGAACGTTGAGGTAATCTGACAACCCTGGAAGGCGTGCATCTCGCTTCCCAGTGGCCCTTGTGCAAAAGCAGGAATAGCATAATTCGGTGTGTTATACGATGAGAAGGTGGCCTTGACTTCTTGGGTGCAAATGCATAGGCAGCGCCAGAACTTCTTGTCTAGCCCAGTATTGCATGCAGTATATAGGGACGCGGGGGCAGGGGAATGAGCTTTGTAGGATCAAGCCCGACGGCTGATTCTCTAGCATTGTTTCGTTATAGGATGATTCACATATCAACAATCATGTCTGATGCACATGCAGTTGCACTCATCCCCAATCGTTGCCACAGCTTTACCTTTCAGCCAAACACGGTAGGTCCTTTCTTTACCTCTATGATGGTAGCGCAATCATAGGCCCCTGAGTTCATCAAAGCCTGTATGTAAGAAGGATGATTTGGTCAGAAAGTCATGATAGTATCACTAAAGATGAACCCCATGGCACGGTTATTCGTCGTATCGTTCTGTGTGGTTCAAAAAGACTCGACATAAACCCTCAGGGCTGGGTCCAGTCAGGCCCTTGAACGGTCCGTCGATCTCACCTCCTTCCATTCAGAGGCTACGTGAGAGGTTTCAGCGGAGTTCACGTCATACCAATGAGATTCTCTGTGAAACATCCTAGAAGCGGAAGCAATGGAAGGCGTCCTCTGATGATGGCTGCTTATGCGGCGCCCAAGCAAATAATTGCACGATATTGCGTACTCGATCATGAAGTAGATCTCATTACCAATGCTATTGATCATCACTTTCTCGTAGCTCTATATATACACTCTCATTGCCTCGATGTTCCTCTAGAGTAGTTCGATCATGTAGCCAGGCACGGAACACGGTTGTATCTTCCTTCGTTTCATGAGAATAACTACGGCTTCCGATACGCGATTACCGTCGGTGATTATCGACCAAGGTCCCTTTCCAACGTAGATTTTGCGTGATCCAATACCTTGGCGTTATCCAGAAGCTTCAAAGGAGTTGGGAAAGATCGTGTTAAGCAAAAGGACTGATTTAATCCACGCTAGGGAGCTATTGGCATTCCTAACTCCATACCGAGGTCTCAACCTCTTGAATCCTCTGTAAGCCCGAGCTGAGTCTCACTCTGGGCTAGCCTTGAGCCTGAACTATCTAGCTTAGATAAATAGCCGGCAAGTTCCCCTTCTACGTTCTGTTGATATCCGTCACCGGAAAGGAAAGACCAGAAACTCGGCGATAAGCACTTCTGGCCGGTCTATATGAGCAGTTCTTGCCAATAACGAGGCAAATGGAACACCTTCCCGGAGATGCAATCATATCAAACAATGGGGGAAACATCGAGACCTAAAGATGACACTAAATATAGCAAATAATCGGTTACAGCACCATCCACAGTTAGCGATGGTTCGGCCTTCGCCACGGATTTTCAGATCTCAACTAGCTTCGCCTCAGGCACAGGGGCTGAACGACTCTGACGGAGGGATACGGATAAAATGACGGTATTTATAATGTTCTGTCACAAGCACCGAAGGTAAACTTGTGAAAAAGATTCCTAAGCTAATCTACCTTGGTCATCAGTGGTTGCACATATTAGAGCCTATCATTGGGCTTGTGGCACTCGAATGAAATTGAGAAAATGTCGAGTTTATGCCCCAAACTCTTAAGATGCCAGGGCAGAGAGGATATCTAAGATGTGTCTACTTGGGAGGCGGCCAGAACTTACTATTGTCCTAGTTACTATAGCATTTTGTATGCCCAAGAGGTGTGGCTTCAACTATAGTGATAGTGATTCCTGGCTAATGAACGGTATTGTTCTAACGGAACCCCTGGCATGGTTAGCAGTCGCCTATAGCAATTGCCTATC